TCATGCGCACATCGTCAGCAGTGACGAAATTGATGGCGACACCCTTCCGGCCGAAACGTCCACCACGACCGATGCGGTGGATGTAATTTTCGCGATTGGCGGGGAGATCGTAATTGATGACCAACGATACTTGCTGGACATCGATACCACGCGCCAGCAAGTCAGTGGCTATGAGGACACGCGAAGAGCCCGAACGGAACTCTTTCATGATTACATCACGCTGTTGTTGCTCCATGTCACCGTGCATGGCGGAGACGGTGAAGTCGCGGGCGGTCAGTTTGTCGGTCAGCCAGTCAACCTTTCTCCTGGTGTTGCAGAAGATGACGGCTTGGGTAATGGTGACGGTTTCGTAGAGATCGGAGAGGGTATCCAGCTTCCACTCTTCCTTTTCGACAGCGATATAAAATTGTTTAATACCCTCAAGAGTAAGTTCTGCCTTTTTCACCAAAATACGGACGGGGTCGCGCATAAATTTGGTGGTGACTTCGAGCACGTCCTGGGGCATTGTAGCGGAGAGTAGGACAACCTGGGTAGACTGAGGGAGGAATTGGAAGATATCATAAATTTGTTCGGTGAAACCGTGCTATTAGACGAAAGTAAAATGTTAGAAAAAACCGAGAAAGAATAATGGAAAACCCCAAGCGTCATGAGAGTAGATAGTGTCGATGCATGAACCTACCGAAAGCATCTCATCAGCCTCGTCGAGGACGAACATCTTCATGTGATCGGTCTTGAGGACACGGCGCTGGATCATGTCGTGGACACGACCAGGAGTGCCAACAACAACCTGAGGACCATCCTGGAGAGCCTTCATATCCTCGCGCACGCTAATACCACCGATACAAGCGTGGCACTCAATGCTCATGAAGTCACCAATGGCAACAACGACCTTCTGGATCTGCTGGGCAAGCTCACGGGTAGGAGCAAGGATCAGAGCCTGACAAGCCTTGAGGTTGGTGTCAACCTTCTGCAAAGCAGAGATGGAAAATGTAGCAGTTTTGCCCGTTCCGGACTGAGCCTGGGCAATAACATCGGAACCTGCATGTTTTCGTCATTATTATCAACCTTTTTTCCTGTTAAGGGAGGTTTTTTTTCATGACGGATGTATCATTTGATTTGGACAACAAAGGGACAGAGGCAACGCACCCTTGATGACGGGCATGATAGCACGCTGCTGGATGGCAGAAGGGCGCTCGAAACCGTAGGCATAGACACCGCGGAGCAACTCAGCGCGGAGGTTCATAGCATCGAATGAGTCGGTGATTTCATCATAGTTGGATTCGATTTGTCCTGTTTCGAGAGAAGGCTTTGTCAATATTACATTTCTCTCATTCAACCAGCTTTGGGTAGTATCGTGAGCACATTTTTCGCTGCTCGTCAAAAAGGTAAAAAAAAAAAAAAAAAAGACCAACAAAATCAAAGAAAATCTTCTGTCTGCGAACAACAAAGGAAAAAAAGAAAAGAGCATACCTTCGGGGATCTCTTCGAGACCCTTATCGTTGGAAGCCATGATTGCGAGTTTGGGGCTTTGAGATCACAGGCCGAAGCTGTGATCGTGGTGATGAGGGGTGGAAGAAAAAAAAAAACCGTTGGGTGGGAAAAAGAGGGTCTAGCGATCCTTGCTGGAACCTGCCCTGCGGATAAAGACTGTAGACTGAAAAATAACTAGAACCTATACTCTCTGAGGATGAGAGTATAATAGGATCTAGGAGTTGAGACAACTCTGGGAATATTTATGGATGGGATATGTTGGTGAAGTGTTGTGTGTGGGGGAGTGAAGGAAGAGAAAAAAAAAAGATGAGGCGACGAAAAAGGCAGTGGAAAAATGGACGTTTGGTTGACTTTTTGGGCTTAACGCTGTTTTTTTCCGTTTGCTTCTTTTAATTTTTAATTTTTCCATTTATTTATTTTATTTTATTTTCTTTTATTTTTCAAGCGCGGGGACAACAGAATTAAAAATTGTCTCTTCACTCTGTTTACGAGCCACCATCCCACACGGCTTACTATTGTCGCTTCATGCGTTGAATTCCTGCCATTGTATTTATTTATTATTATATTCTAACTGTCCCTTGTTCGCTGTTCGATTTCTTCCAACAAGTTCAACCTGTGTGCAAGCAAGTACCCCCGCCCAGCTTTTAGGCGAGAGATTTTGGGGTTTCGGCGCTGGCCCAAGCTCGAGATATCAGATATCAAATGCAATCAGGATACAATATAAGATTGCATTTTATACGCGTCCACGACAAGCGATGATTCCCCCACAGCCATTTCAGGTCTGTAACGCAGAGATGGCTGTGGCCACGGATGTCACGCATTGTCCTGTTCAGAGCTTGCATCGGCCGAACTCAATGTCAATTGACGATACGGCGTCAGATGTAGATGTCGATGTCGATGTTATACCTTCACATCCTCTGGGAGTCAAACCATCAGGTAATGCCTTGACAGCTGTCCACAACATCCGCCCGGCAATTGGCTCCCTGGCTGTCCTGTCAGATGAGTTGATCATGCTACTGCTGGAATATCTGGATAGCACATCTCTGTTGCGCTTGGGGGCAACTTGCAAAGCGCTGTATGCTTTCACAAGGGCCGAGGAGCTGTGGAAGGCCCTCTTCATCGAGTAAGGACCTTTCACCTTCTTTTATCTTTCTTCAATGACGTTATTTATCACTTGGCTCTAGTTTCTTTGGTTTGGTTCTTACTTGTCGAAGCCGGCATTATATTATCTGCAAGTCTGAACATTTTTTTGTAAATAATTGGAATATATATTTTTAAAGGGACGAAGGCGCAAAGGGCATTGTCAATTATATGTACATGTATCAAGATGCACGATATCTACATGTATTTATTCTACATTTTCAACAATGCAGAGTGATTATCCTCCCGCATATTCTGCAGTCCATCTACTTACCCTTCCTCCCAGGAACCCTCCCAAAGGCTTCTCATGGCGCGGCACCTGGCACGCAACATATCTTAACCTACCGGCCACCAAAATCGCCTCACCAGATTGTTCACATCTCTACGCCGACATCCTCCACCGACCGTTTCACTGCGCTCACGTTTCCCTGTCAGCCTACACCACAAATATCCCTGCCTGCAACCAAATCCCCCGCATAAAAAACCTCACCCCAGCCGAATTCCAAGAATCCTGGACGAACAGACCTTTCATCCTTACCGAGCCCGTGAAGTCATGGCCGGCCTACAGGGACTGGTCCACAGAGCATTTGCTGAAACTGTATGGGAACATAACATTCCGCGCGGAAACGGTCGACTGGCCTTTGAAGACCTACGTGGAGTACATGAACAATAACATCGACGAGAGTCCCCTGTATCTCTTCGATCGTAGCTTCGTCGAGAAAATGAACTTGCCGATAGTCAGCACCACCACCACCACCACCACCACCACCACCGCAGCCACCTCTCAACCCCAACCCTCAGAATCGGCTTACACTCCACCCACCCCCTTTGCAGAAGACCTCTTCTCCGTCCTCGTCCCCGACCGTCCAGATCACCGCTGGCTAATCATCGGCCCCCCGCGCAGCGGCAGCACCTTCCACAAGGACCCCAACGCCACCAGTGCCTGGAACGCCGTCCTGCGCGGCTCGAAGTACTGGATCATGTTTCCCAGCAATGCCGCTGGTACCAATACCAATACCGGCGCAGGCGCAGGCGCGGGTGCAGGTCCAGTATTGCCATCGCCACCAGGAGTCTATGTCTCGGCCGATCACAGCGAGGTAACGTCGCCGCTTAGCATTGCGGAGTGGTTTATGGGCTTCCATGGTGCGGCGCGGAGGATGCAGGGGTGCGTTGAGGGGATTTGCAGGGCGGGAGAGGTGTTGCATGTGCCGTCTGGATGGTGGCATTTGGTTGTCAACTTGGAGGAGGAGGAGGGGCATGGTGGGGATGATGGTGACGATGGTGGTCGTGGTCGTCGTGGTGATCGTGCTGTAATCGCCATTACGCAAAATTTTGTCCCGCGGGGACATCTTGTGGATGTTCTTGGGTTCTTGAGTGGGAAGAAGGAACAGGTTTCGGGGTTTCGGGATGGGGTTGAGGATCCATTTGGATTGTTTGTGGAGAGGTTGAGGGCGGTTGAGCCGGACTTGGTGGATGAGGCGTTGAGGGAGCTGGAAAAGGAGAAGGAGGGTAGGAAGAGGAAATGGGATGCGGTTGTTAAGGGTCCTGTGGATGGGGATGGGGAGGGTGAAGGTGAGACTTGTGGGGGGGTTGCGTTTAGTTTTGGATTTGGAGATGATGGGAGTGATATTGAAGTTCCCTGACTCGGGGAGATCAGGAACGATATCACCTCCGTAGCTCTCTCAGAAACACAGGAAGGAATACGAGATGGACGCGTTCATCGGTTATTAGAGTGTATATAAACACAAAATACGTTAAAGATACAAGAGCAAGCATCTGTGAACATTGCAGACGAAAGGCTACATATTGCAATTCGCACTGGCCATTCGGGAACGTATGGTATATATATGTATGTATATTCATATCCGACCGAATAATCTTCATGCCAAAGAAAGGGATCTGAATCCAGCGTATAGCAGGAAAGGATCAATGACAAGAAACAGACTTAGCCGCCTCACCTCCAAAAACCATGTACCCCATAAACGCCCCGACAGCCACCGCCAGCATAACCCAACCGTTATATGTCATGAAAAGAAGCCTGCAAATTAAACAAAAACATATATCAATTCATTTTTGTTCTAAATCCATGGCCCCATCGGAAAAGAAAAGGTTGGGGGTTACTCACATAATCATAAAACTATAAAAGACCTGCACAGCGTAGAAGGTCGCAAGCAGTAGCTTGCCCCTCCGCCTCCTCTCGATCCGCGCTGCGAAGAGCAGTGAGCCAGCTGTTTCACCGTTGGTGGTGGTGTTGTTGTTGGAAAGGAGGGGGGCATTGGGAGTGGGCAGCGCGTTGTCACTGTCATTGATAACATCTGGCGTCTCGACATCTTCATTGTTTCAGAAAGATATTTTGAGCCTCCACGGAATTGATTATTTTTGTGGGTTGGGAAATAGGGGCTATGTCTTCACATGTGCAAACAAGCACACACACTTTCTCTACTCCTCTGTACGGGGAGGCTTTCCGAAAGGATGGAACATATGTACCCGTGGCGCAGATACATAGAAATGGAAAATTAAAAAGCGAAAAAAAAAAAAAAAAAAAAAATAATTAGCACAGAAATCCAACAACATACCAGATGAGTATCCTCCGGCAGCTGGTATGGGGCTATCCTTCAACGCCAATGCATGTCGCGCTTCATAACGGCGTGCCATCGCGCGAATACCCTCGTAGCCAGCGGCCAGGACCACAATGGCAACAAGTGAGAAGATAAAGGAGAATGGCCCTGTTTATGCGCCACTGTTTAAAAATTATACACAGGTTGTGTGAGGAGAAGGTGAAGTGCATCTAGATCATTTATTAGTACCAGTAGTTATTCAAGAAACGACTATCCGTGCATCATTGCCTGGTGGTAAAACACGGGGAGTGAGCATATATATCTGCACATACATTCATGCTACATTGACCACCCATGTCCATATCTCCATGGCCATCCATCCCGGCATGATGCATTGAGTGGTCCATGGCTTCAGAATATGATCGTAGGTTAGTGCTGGAGAGCTGTTCCAGGGGCGACAAGGGAATGCTTCGTAGGAGGACGAATAAATAAAATTCAAAGGGGAACCCCTCTCGTTATATAGCTGTCCCTCCCGCTCCGACTCTCAAGTATTTGAGCAAGCCAAGGTGGGACAGAGAGAGACCTAGCTCGATATGTTGCTGCATATCCTTGAGCAGCTTTGAGCAGATTTAACACTCGCTGGTGGTGCAAACACCACAAACACGCACTCTCAGCGTTGAGCAAAATCAAAGACGTCAGTTTTCGTTCGGCAGCTCTCTATCCACTGACCACCATTCCTTCTCCTGGCTTTGGCACTATCAAACGTCCCTTTGTGAGTCCAATCGCCGGATTTTGAGTGTAGTTTTCGAAAATCACCAACCCTTCTACGCTTAACCGACCCTTCATGACGGAAAATATCCCGCCCGCAACCACTGCCGTCGCGACCGGCCCTAATGGCGTCCCGGCTACTGCTGGGTCGGAACAAGTGCAGAGTCGCGGGATCCCATATTATGAGAAGCTCAGACGCGAACTGAGAGAGACAATACAGAAGAAGCGGCTAATGGATAAGAACATGGTATGGAACCCATGCCGACCTGCCACCACCGGTAGTAGTTATCCTGTCTGCGTCGCTCATTATTTCCTAACACTTCTCTTCTCCAACAATATGAGTAGCAGGAAAAAGACCAGAGGAACGAAGACTTGCTAACATCTACCAGGCCGCCCTAGAAGAATCGATATACCGCTTCGAACAATCCTACCTCGAAGAAACTGGTGCGGGAAACATAATTAAAGGGTTCGACAATTACATCAAAGGCTCTTCTGGCGGGTCAGGCATAGGTTTCGGAAGCAGCCTTGGATCGATGACTGGTGGCAGCGGCACAGGAGGCCCAACCACACGAAGAAAATCAGCGGTCCAAGACACCGACCGGGTGTTCTCGAGGAGTTCAGCTAGTTTTATGAGGGTGCGTATGAGCTTAGCCATCAACCCCCATCTGTCTCTATTCCTACTCTTTATCTACCTCCCCACTATTTCTTCGACCCACCCAATTTACCATATGCCCTAGGCTAACCATGTGTATATATATGTATAAACGACATAGGACTCCCCCGCCCCCTCCAGCACAAACACAACCCCATCCCACGCCCCGACACCCACCTCCGCTTCCATGCCAGGCTTTCAGAGAGATAATAGCAACAACAGCAACAACACTAGAGACCATAAAGAGACTTCCAACGCCATCAGCAAACAGCAACAGCAACAACAACAACAACAGCAGCAATCCACCCGCCCCCAACACCGTGAAGGCGAGCACGAATAAGAAAAACAGGAAATCATCCGCCGCGACGATTGCCAACGCGAACGCAAACGCCAGCGCCACTTCCAACGCCAATTTTAATACCAGCACGAGTACAAATACAAATGCAGGTGCTAATGCAACTGCAAATGCAAATGATGCGAATTCGGGTAATGGGGCTGGGGGCGCGAGGGGACGGGAGAGGGATGGAGACGATGATGCTGAGTCTGGAGGTAATAAGCCGCCAGTGAAGAGGTTGAAGATTACGTACGGGCGGGAGTGAGGGAGGGAATGTGCTGCAGGGGAGGAGTTTTTGGTTTGTTTGGTTATATTTGAGGTGGTTTCTGTTTTCATTGTCTGGCGTTTTCTTTTTTTTCTTTTTTTTTCTTTTTTTCCCTCCCCTCCCCTCCCCTCTCATGGGGAGTGTTTTTGCGAGGAATTTGGAGGCAAATATATTTATTGTACTCGACGGTCATCAACACCAAATATAGAGACGGTCGATTTTTGCTAAAGAGTGCGTGCATGGGAGGGAGGGAGCAACATTACGATGTCTAAATAAAAAGTTATACTTCCTCGACGCCAAATTTATAGCTTATATATATATATTGTTTCTCTGGCTCTCCTCTCGCAATTGCTAATACACGCTGAGGCACAAGACTGGTATCTGCTACGAAAATCACGATGCGGATTTTTCTATATTATTATATATATATGTATATTGCTTTCATTTGCTCATTCCTGATGATAATAATAAAGTGGCTAACTGGCCCTAGCAACTTCTCATTCTAGGTGATCGTGTGCTTTGATAACGATGTGTATTTCCAAAAGCATCTATATTAAGGTGATTCTTTACCCCGAACAATAGGTTACAGGTAAACCCCCTCTGTCCCAAAGACATGCAACATCCATATACCCAAGTACGTTTCCAAGATCAAAAAGACTGTCGCAACTCTTGATTATTGCACTTCAGGCACTGAGGCCCTCCAAAGACAGCCAATAACCCTGCTCCATATCAACGATATGAACTTAGCCCTCAATTTAAAACCCCAACTTTGAATTATCGTTGGAAAAAGGGGAAAATCGAAATCAAGACATATGGAAGGGCTAGCCACCTTCACAAAAGCATATCCCAAGTTCACCCTTCTCTCGTCATATATTCATGAAGCATTGGCATAAATATAATGTCAATCAAATCATTTCATGACACATCGCAGCTGACTCAAAACCCATGTCCTAACAAAGTGTAATTCACTAATACACTCCACCAAGACTGGCCCACCTTTACAATTGCAAACGATACGTCGCAACCTCAAACGCCCTTAACTCAATATCCACCTGCACCGCATCAACAATCTGCACCACTTCCAACTGCTCCAAATCATCCTCAAGCAAATTGCACTTCCACACCTGCTTAACAGGCAGCTTGGACGAAATAGAACCGCGACTTTTCCCACCCAGAGACTCATAGATGCGCAGGATAATACTGCGTCCAGAACGAACTTTGAAGTCCCCACGGGAGACATCTTGATCATCCTCTCCACGCTTGACAGTGTCAAGGATTAGAGACGAAGAGCCTTTGAGAGAAAAGGCGCTGAAAAGATGGGCGTCTTCTTTGCCAGTTGCTGCCTGAACGATTAGTGGGTTGTTGAAATTGTATCCTGCCCGGACGGTGCGGGAGTCAAGGGGTCCTTTGTGCGGCATGATTGCGTAGCGGATGTGGTGTCGACCCATATCCGCGTGAGCGTCGGGAGCTTTTGGCGCCCGGAGCAGAGACAGGCGCATCAAGTTGCCACATGTCGCGAAACCGTACTTTGAGTCGTTGAGAATTGAGACGCCGTAGCCAGCCTCGGAAAGATCAGCCCATTTGTGGCAACATACTTCAAATTTGGCCATATCCCAACTTGAAGAAGATTACTATTAGTAACTGATATGGGTAGGTGCTTTTGGATAATGGGGGTACATACCTAGTGTTATAATGTGTTGGTCTTCTGGTTATTCCATATTGTGTTTCATACGACGCCTCAGTGTTCGTTATATCAACGGGGAATTCGACCTTCAGGAACTTCATAGTTTCTTGCCACTCTACCTCACAGGTTATCTCCACTATCGGAGCTGAATCGTCAGTAGTGGCGGCTAGACTAATTGTTGTCTTCACCCAGCTCTTGTCGCTGATATTAGTCTTCGTTACAACACCAACACGATGAGGATTATTCTCTGCGATTGTAGTTGTCCCAGAGGTCAGCTCCTTCCGGGATTCAAGATGGTAGACTTCAACATCCCACGCTTGCCAGTAAAGAGGTTTATCGTCGAAGATCACTAGCTGGTTAGCTTTTCCACCCTTTGCGATAATCTCTCTTTGCTCCGCTAGATCGACAAGAGAGGTGATTACCCCTTTGGACACCTCGAGAGATACTTTCGAGTTTGAGAGCCTAAAGACCCCTGTTTTCACTTCATTTAGGGAAACAGGAGGTGTTTGAACAGATCCGAGAGGCTGAACAGCAATGACCCCCATACCTCCTTGGGCGAGTGCATACTGTGGTTTTCCAGAGGTTGTAATCCCTTCGTCAACTCTCACGATCTCTGAGCGAGGCCAAGGAAGAGTGTTGATGGCCACAAGCCCACGGTCCGCTCTGCTATCTTGAGAATCTAATCCAAGAACTTTCATCGCCTCCTTTTTTAACTTTGACCCGGTTGCAAATATCTGTGCGTACTCCTTATCGGAGTCATCGTAACACATCTCAATCGAACTTCCAGGAAGACAGTCATGGAACTGGCAGAGTAAAACGCTCTCCCACATATCATCGATATCTTTCTTGGGGTATTTATACTTGGAGTCTTTCAGGGTAGCTAGCGTGGCAAGCAACTCCAGGTCACGTAGAACAAACTCAGATTTACGATTGTTGAATTTATTGTTGGCCTGAGTTGTGTATGTCCCTCGGTGGAGTTCAAAATAGAGTTCCCCATACCAAGTGACAAAATTCGTTCCATTGGCAACTTTTTCTTCAAGTTTCGCAAAGAAATCATCCACACTGGAACCCATTGTGACACGGGGAAGGAGTTCGCCTGTATCACTCATACCGCGAAGTCTCCGCAGCTTCTCGAGATGTTCAAAAGTCGGTCCACCACCGCCGTCACCTTTTCCAAAGACTAGAAGTGAGGTGTTATCTTGATCCATCGATTTGTGCTGCAGGACACTCCTGCGGACGTCTCCAAAGTGGGCGCTGGCTGTATACGTCTCTGCTGGAGTCATGTGGCAAAGGACTTGGCTACCATCTAAGGCAACCCAGTTAAAAGTCGTATGAGGGAATTTGTTGATGTTGTTCCAACTGAGTTTCTGAGTGAAGAAACGGCTCATCCCGGCTAACCGACAGAGTTGAGGAATCTGCGATGAGTATCCAAAAGTATCTGGCAGCCAAAAAGTGGTGCAGCGTTCGCCAAAATGGCTTTCAAAGAATCGCTGGCCATGGATGAACTGACGAGCCAAGGACTCTCCACTGGGCATGTTAGTATCATGCTCTACCCAGCTTCCACCAATTGGAATGAAGGACCCTTTTTTCACAAATGATTTGACACGGTCAAATACATAAGGGTAGTCCTTTTCCAGCCATTTGAACTGCTGTGCTTGAGAACAGACAAAGCGGTGTTCGGGATAACGTTCCATCAAATCGCACTGGGTAGACCAGGACCTGGCCACTTTTCGTCTTGTCTCCGCCCAGGGCCACAACCAACAGGTATCTATGTGACAATGGCCAATGCCGTAAACAATCGGCTGCTTGTCAGTTTTGTAGACCTTGTCAGAATCCACTAAGTGGCCCAGGTATTGCTGTGCAATTTTGCGGGCCTTCACAATCGACGCCTGGCTGCCATTGCCCTCGATAAAGGCATCCATTATGGCATTTGCAACTTGTAAGGCTTGATGGGAGTGCCACGAGTCCGAAGGGAATTCCCGAGCAGCATCTTGAAGCGTTTCAGTCGGTTACCCACTTCCTTCAAATTAGGGTTATACATACCTCCTATCATCCAGAAATCGTAATAAAGCGCCCTAGCCTGTAAGTTTACAGCTGTGATCCTCGCCACATTAAGTCTATAATATTTGTTGGGGCTGGGAGGTTGGATAGAGTCGCCTCCCGGAGCATTTCCAAACATTCCATTGCAGGCCATCTCGATATAGAAGACGTGTTCCTTTCCATCTCTGAAACTGTCAGGCAAAATCCATTCAATCCTCTCACCACCGCCTGTCAGGCCCTGTAAAGGTTTCCCATCCTCCGTCCAAACCATCCCCTCGTTGTTTGCATCCCAGTGGAACTCCAGTCGCTCCTTTTTGCGCATCTCCTCTGGCACCGTGAGCTGGATCTTGAACCAGTGGGTTGACCAACTTGGACCAAAGGACTCGCCTCGTTTGGTAGGCTTGAATTTATTGGCGGTAGCTTCCTTAAAGCTGGGTCTGGCCAGGTTTGGCACCGAGTAAACGGAGAGCTTGACATGCTGTTCATCATCGTTTGTGGCTTCGTAGTATTTGCTATATAAACCAACAAAGAACACACATTACTATATAAGCCAATAGCTTCAAAAAAGAACAAAACCCCTCATCGAAGCTTTGCAGGTATGTATTCAAATAAACTGGGTGGAAGGCGGGGGAAAGTGAGTGGGGAACGATCGTACGCTACTAGGTTTTGTCCCGAGTATTGTCCGCCATCAGTAAATTGACGGAGTCGGTCTTTATAAATACTCCAAACCTTCTGGCCAACGGGACGATGCACCAGAGTAGGATAGGAGGAAGTGGATGGAAGCCTGCTGTCTCCGCCCATGGCTCGTTAGCTGGTTAGATGAGTATGTATTGTAGCTTCGAGTCAGGTTAGCTTCGAGCAAAGTCAGTTGGAAAGTGGGTTTTTTTATAGAAGGTGAGAGAGGATCCCACTCGACGACATTAAGATATAAGAATACAATCTGGGGGTTGTCCAGTCAATGGCGAGTTGAGGTGGAAGTAGCGAGGTTGAGGGGAAGCTGGGGAACTCTGCGGGGTAGGAGGTCGTGACCCGGCAAGCTTCCAAGGGAACCATGGCAACTGTTGGAACCCAGTTCTTAAGTGATCATCGACGCAGCTAACAAGCACTGCAGCTGCAGGAGTCGAGTGCTGGAGCTCAGACGGGGCATCACGTTGAATGGAGAGGATACCCCACATAGTCTGGATTTACTCCGTAACATTATCCTCTTCTCTATCACTACTAGTATCCAGCTAATTCCTGGAACAACATCTTGCAGTAGCCTTAACCAGTTGATATTGTAGTCCGGAATTTCATAAAACCGAATAGTTAACTATATTCCCAATTCTTAAATTATTACTGCGGGAGTGAGCATAACATATCTTCGTGGCCTCCATTAGTACTGCGCTAGTTAGTATTTTTGGACTTTCAGAAGCTCGCTTCTCTCTACCAACAATTTCCACCCAGAAATAGGAGCATATAGAGGCCAGAACAGAGCCTGTAGTTCCGGTCAACTTAGCGTAACACCGATACCTGTTGAGAAACAGACTCGGCAGTCAGATCTATTTAATATTAGCTAGGTCGTAGTGTCACCTACATAGCCAGGTTTGATAACTATGGTCCCTATGCAGTGTCAGCAGCGAAGAATTGATGACATCGGCTAAACGATAATCCGCCAAGAACAAAGGAGGCCAAGCATCAAGCCACAATCTTGCATCACAGTAAACATTTAGCTGTCCTTTGGCCACTTGTGCTCCCACGGAATGGCGAGAACCCTCTGTCACTAAGGATATGGGGTTCGACATCAAGCGGGTAGCTATTTATGTGTAGAGCATCCCAAACAAAGAGGCTGATCCCCTAATTTCATATTTAGGGCACCCATCGAGGATGTGTTGATAGTTTGCATATATATATCTATCTTGCTTGATTCCTGTCATGCGCCAAACGCCAACATCAAACCCGCGCTATTCTGCTTTGCCAGAGAGCTCAAGTGAGACTGAGCTTCAGGATATTCCCTGGCGGAGCCCCCCCGAGTCTGGAGAAGAAGAAGATAATAATTATCATGATGATGTACGATCAGCCGGGGGGAACTCGCCGGAAGGAGAGATCATCGGTGCAGAGGGAACAGATCTCACTGAGGACAAATTCGCCCCCTTCCCAGACATGCATCACGATCCGAATCCAATTCTCACATTCCGCGCATTACTCGTTGGATGCCTCTGTGGAGCATTGGTGAACGCCTCCAATATTTATCTTGGGCTCAAAGCAGGCTGGACAACCTCGGCTAACATTTTCGGAGTAAGTACAGATGGTCAAGCCCTTGCAGGACACAACTGCTTCCTTGAGGCATAGGCAAAATATATTTCTAAGTGCCGTGTCGTATTTAGTCAATTGTGGGTTTTGCTGTCCTCAAATCATGGACAAAGTATACTTCCCAGCACAACTTTGGTCCCCATGAGAACAACATTGTCCAAACTGCTGCCACGGCAGCAGGGGGATTGTCCAATGTTTTCGTCTCTGCAATTCCTGCGCTGTATCAGTTGGGGCTGCTCTCTGTCCCAGTGAAGGATTTCTTTCGAATTACGACTTTGACTGCCATTGGGGGCTACTTTGGCCTCTTGACCATTGCGCCACGTACGTGCTATCCATCCACTTTGGCATGTTCTCTTTGCTTTATCGGACAAGTCTAGAGAAACTGATGATCGTTTCTCTAGTGCGGGACTTCTTCTTGGTCCAGGTAGCTCGAGAACTTAATCTTATCTTTCCGTCGTCCTCCGCTACTGCTATCACTATTCGCAGTATGCACCAAGCCGCCAGCGGCGCATATATGGCCCGGCGCAAACTTGCAGCGCTGCTTTACGCTTTTTTATTCGCCGTGCTTTTGCGTGTTGCATCCCAGTATGCCATTGGGATTCTGTGGGTAAGCCTGGCTTTTTTTTTCTTTTGATTTCCTGCTTGAATCTATTAAGTATGAATTTTCTTCGACTCACCCTCCAATCCGTTCAGGACTGGCATCCTTTTACTTGGCTAATCAGCGGCGGAGTTCTTGTCGAGTGGGCCATGTCTATGGAAAGCTGGGGCTGGATTGTTGAATGGACGCCTGCATTCATCGGCTCTGGGATGCTCGTGGGAGTCAACGTTGCTGTTTCTTTTACCGCCGGATCGGTTTTGGCGTGGTAAGTTAACCTGAAAGGCTTACGGCACCACATACCACTACGCGACGTTACTAACTAAGCGTTAGGGGTATCATTGGCCCGTATCTAGTAAGGCATGGATTGGCCTTTGGAGAGCCTGCGTCTACAGACTCGAAATGGTCGACTCTGATGTCCTATTCGTCCCTTTCGAAGGACTTCGCAACGGCCTCTCACCCAAGCCCGCGATATTGGCTTTTGTGGCCAGGCGTGATCACAATGGCAGCAGTGGCTCTTGCCGGTGTGTATGAAGACATACGAATCCGGTAGTTACAGCATTCTCGGCTAATTAGTGTATTAATTTTTGCAGAACTTGCTTGTCAATGGCGTGTGTTTTGGATTATTGGTCGGGACTCCACTCGAGCAGTGTCAAACATTCTGTCCCAACTGCGAAACGGCAACCATCGGTATACCCTGATGACGGAAAAAGACGAAGGCGCCGCGGATGATTCAAAGGATAGTGTCAAAGTATGGATGTGGCTTCCGGGTCTAATTTTTGTTATCGTTGTGGCCTGCCCAGTCCTGAAATACCAGTTTGAGATGAGAGTTTCGGAGTCACTGTTTGCTCTTTTCCTAGCTTTCATACTGTCCCTCATGGCTATTCAAGCAACTGGGGCAACTGGTGAGTTTGACTGAGTCCTTCATGGTACCGAAACAACTAGAAGGATCTAACAGAAACTATGTATTGCACAGACACTACACCTCTTGGTATCCTCTCCAAAGTGTCTCAGGTAACCTTGAGCAGCACAACGAGAGACCAAACCGTTCAAAATTCCCAACGCCTGAACCTCTTAGGCGGTGCCCTGACTAATATTGGCGGGAGTCAAGCTTGTGGTATGTTCTTATACAAAAACGTGCCACCCCCATTTTTAATAAATTTCCAGCGGCTCAGTAAAACCCCCACAGACCTCATGGGCGACTTCCGCGTCGGATACCTCCTGGGCACGTCACCCCGACTACAGTACGCAGCACAGCTAATAGGAACCCTCTTGGCCACCTTTTTCGCCCCATCCATTTTCCTCATCTTCGCAACAGCCTACCCCTGCATCCTCTCCACTGAAAACAACCCTCCAACCACTTCAAACAGTTCCACCACTCCCCCCACAAACGCCTGCGAATTCTCCTCTCCCGCCGTCGCCGCCTGGCGCGCCGTGGCAGTAGCCGCCACAGAGCCCGTTTTACCCATCCCGCGCACCTCTCTCACCTTCTCCATCGTAATGGCCATCACCGGCGTTCTAATGATAATCATCCGGCACAGCGTGTGGGTAGGGAAATGGGAGCGGATGCGTGCGTACCATCCCAACGTTATGATTTTAGCCATGGCGTTTACGCTGCCGTCGCCACAGTATGGGATTGCCATGCTTCTCGGCTCGCTGGTGGCGGTGGTGTGGCACTGGAAGGCGCCGTTGGGGTATGAGGCGTTTGGATATGCGGTTGCGGCGGGGTTTATGGCTGGTGAAGGCATTGGAGGGACGATTAATGCGTTACTTTCTGTGTTGGGGGTTGGAGGGGAGAGGTTGGGGACGAGAGTTGGATGTCCTGCTGGGAGGTGTTGATAGATGACTTTTCTCATTTCCCCACAACCCCCGGATGAGTAACGAGAAAACCGGTAGACCTAGAATAGACTGAGCGTTATGAAATTATTATTTCTTTTGATGTTGTTTTTATAGCTCGTAAATGATATATATATTATTGATATATTTCTCCTGCCAGGCGCCTATGGCAAGACGAGATGACCACATCCTAAATTTGTATATCAAAGTGTATCTACTTGGTAGACAGGAGGTCGGCTCCTGTCCAACAACAGCTTCTAATTATCCGCTAGCATCTGCTGTGCTTACATCTGGTTCTCCATTATAAATGTAAAAAATAACGTTGAATGTAACAAACTATAAAGATCAAGACCACTTTAATTCTAACTAAGGGCATCAACATCTACATCGACATCATGCTCCGGTATCCCCACAGCCAATCCCTCCTCTTGACCTTCTTTGATTATAGGCCCTATTGACACAGAATAACGGTCAGTTAATATTTTTCATTTTTCATTTTTCGAAATATAGTCAATGGCGATTGACACCAACCTAGGCTAGGATTTACTATGTAGCCCGGTACCGTCATATTGAACGACCTTGAGCTTGACCATTGGGTGATGCGGCTCCAATCAGCACACTGGTGGGTCGTCGCAGTGGCCTTTGGTTTTAGGGAGCCCTGCTTCCAGTTGTAGGTGATGATACCCACGTCGCTATGGCACATTGCAGATTTTCGTAAATAGTTTAAGCAGTGATCTACGGAACCAATACAGTACACGGGACTAAGTTAGTTGATTATCCCAAGTCTCACCTTGGCTCTTTGTGTATTATATGTGTATATGTTATAAAACTTGGGTACTCACGAGAATGGAGTTTCATAATTGCTTGTTCGTGGGGCGTGGCACCCTCGAAATAGTGATCCTTATGGACATATTTGTACAACCACCACTAAGGCCATTTGCTCAGTAAACCATTCGCTCACTTCGACTCTTTCAAGCTAGGGATTAAAAAGGCGGGTATAGTAAACTTACAACGCAGTGTAGTTCGTGAAAGACATTTAGCGTTCCAGCATACCCGGAACCATCTGGTAAAGCGACGGCATCCTTGAGGCGCCCAACTGCCACCAGATCTTGTTTCGATAACCTCACATTCATAACTTGGATAGGGTTACTCCTCCGTAGGTATACAGTCCAACAGGCGCTGGGGTGGGAGAATATACTATCGAAGATATCCCTCCAAGCCTTTTCAAGCACAGGCCGTGGCTCACCCACGTAATCTCCTTGGGCACCGTCGTCATGCACCCATTCAACGACGGTCCATTTCAAAGCCTCATTCGCGGGTGCTAGTGTTACAATTTAGCATATAGAGAGAAAGATCAGGAATCAAGGTAGAATCCAGTTGAATACTAACAGTAAACTAAGCTGCTTTGCAGTTGTTTCTCTAATTTTCTATTGCTCTCGAATAGGATTGCAATGAAAGCGAAAAGGAAGAAAAATGCCGTGCCCGTTACTATGACAATTTTAACATGTTCCCGCCAAAATGGCAGTGCCTTTTCACGATAGGGAGATGTAGACTTTTCGAGTAACGTGTCGGTTGTTTCTGCACTCTCTGTGGAGGAAGGTAATAACAAGTCGTCGGTCGAACTTCTCTGTTTCGTATAATCCATTTTATTTTAAATGGTAAACCGACTCGTGGAAGAGGTTTTTCCCAGAGTAGGAGGATAATTGAAAATGAAGGGGAGAGAAAAACTCAAAAGCATCTTGTATGGGTTTCGAAGTGAGTGGTTGATTTTTTTTTGGAGTTTCAGACCCGGGTCTGATATGATCCCCCTCTGCCAGATAGAAATCTTGACCACCGACATCTCTTTCATGTCGTGTTTGCAGTAGAGCGGTGACGGAGAAACAGGGATCCATGATGCAATCATTTTTGACAAGGTGTTGACAGTTTTGTCGCTGAGGTTTTCATGCCGGTTACACATGGTCACCTCCCTTCCACCAATCAAACAATCCACTTTCTATGACAGTCATTAATGAAGGTCAAAAAGGAAGAAGGCTGCACGTAAACATCATGACAACTGAGGATGTCATCGATAGTTATGCGCAGTCAGTAGGATTTTTCAAGGATGCAAGCCAAAACTTCATGACTGCACGATGTAGCTGAACTGCATTGTGCCTGAGGTTTCCAATACTGGTCTAACGAAGACTTCAGAAAGCCTATGGTATGACACAATCGCACTCAGTTGTCAAAACACGAGATATGTATGCATCCCATAATTATGCGATATAAATAAATGTTAGATTAGCCCTAGGAGCCAAAACACATGGAATGTAGTTCAACATTACTGTTTTCCGCCCCAAGATCTGCCATTCGAAGCTCGAAAGTGCCGCCTTTGTTAAAAAAAAAAATCCAGCAAGCTAAAATTTACCATGCAGCTCCAGAACATTTTGCCCGTCATGGCTCTTCTCGCGACTCTAGTCGCGGGAGCTCCATCTTCCCCAGGTGAGATATATCTCATTACCTACCATGGCTATTCCGCCACTCCATAGGAGTAACACATCCAAAACAATTATAGACACACGTTCGGAAGCTAATTTGCCGGTCCTTAATATGGTAGCCAAGCGCTCGGATGCCGATGCTGCTACTCGATATGTTGTGGACAAGCGCTCGGATGCCGATGCTGCCACTCGATACGTTGTGGACAAGCGCTCTGACGCCGATGCTGCCACTCGATACGTTGTGGACAAGCGCTCTGACGCTGATGCTGCCACTCGATACGCTGTGGACAAGCGCTCGGATGCCGATGCTGCCACTCGATATGTGGTTGACTAAGGTAAGCGCAAAATTGAAATGCAGCGCTTCTGTGCAGAACTGATTATCGAAAGATCCTAAAAACTTGGCAATCATGACTCTATTGCCGTCATTCCTTCAAGGCCATAGTTAGATTTCCACAGAATTTGGAAGAGGCGGCAGCTGGAGAAGTTAGTATGTTGTCTTTCAGTTATGAATCGGGATATCATTTGTTTTCAGGCTTTCAACCATATGTTGAAGTTATAAGGATATTGGAAAGTGCAATAGTTGCTCTGTTGATGAATTTGTTTCGGATAAATAGGAGATTTAAAGAAATTGGATTTAAAATGCTCATTCATTATCAGGATTTATTCCGCTCTTCATTCAAAAACGGGCCTCTTAAAAGAAAATAACCACCAATAATGAACTCCTTGGACAATTAATAATATAAGAAAATAAAATTGTGAGAATGCACTTGAGTAGTTCGAACATACGGCACACTCAGACGAGCAAGCGGAGGATTAGATTGACCAAAAAACCTATCGAAGGATAGGAGTGCTGCGCAATTCTGCAAGAGTTTTTATGGCTGCAACTGACACTAAAAATCGTCATCAACTAAATAGGATGACTAATCCATATTTTGAGTGAAGTAACCTGCTATGAACTAACATTGCTCAGCTTAACATTATTCTACAAGAACCACTGGATATACCAGGGTCGAGTCTCTCTCGATCTTCTCTTCAAGGCCAACTCCTTGAACTTCGGAAACCATGGCGTGCCCCAACCGGAAGCTGCATCCCACCCGTGCAAAGCTGGAAAGCCAGTTGTATTGCAGCCTCCATTTGTGCCTTCGTTGATGTCCCGAAATGCTCTGTATCCCTCAGCATATAGCCATGGATTTAGAAACCCTAGAGGTGGCTTGTCCTCCGCCGCCAACGCATCATTTACCAAAGCTACAACGGCAGCAAATGTTGGGGTTGAAGCTGATGTGCCATCAACGAGCTTTGTCTCGCCGTTCCAAATGGTGACATAGCGATAGCCTTGTGCGGAAACATCGGGGATTGCACGTCCATATGGATTGAACATACCGGAGTGAAGGCCCCCAATTTTAGAAAGATATCGAGCAACACTATGGGGACTATTGGTCTGATAAGCCGGACGAGGGAAGTAATTGCTGAATCCCCCGCCTGACGAGAATCCATTACGGCTGTTTACCGCAACAACTTCTGGCTGGATGCCCTTTGTAGCCCCGACAGACGTTACCCATGGACAAGAATCTGGAAAGCTCACAAGGAATTCGGGGGTAAACAGGCCGTCATTCGAATAACAGTCATCTGGATGACCAACGCCATGATCTCCCGAACCCATTATAACGGAGACCCCTCGTGCACCAAGTTGGGCAAAACCGTTGCAAACTCGGCGTGCGTATGAAATTGGAACTGTATGTTCGATGTCCCCATACGAAGTGGAGACCACGCTGGGAAGCTCCGAGTCAGGCTGGTCTAGAATCCAGTTCAACCAGGTCAGGAATGGCTCGTTGGTGTTAGTGGGAGTGAACGAGTCCGGTGTAAACGGTGGCTCGGATTCTCCAACCGTGTATGTGGTAAGTGGAATTGGATGGGCAATGCCTATCATGACTTCAGCGTCAAGATTGCCTTCCCTCCCAGAACCGTGGGTATATTGCTCATCTGTTACAAGACTTTGTTGGTTGATACCACCATTTATGCTAATATCTTCAAAGCTTTCCGCTCCTGCAAGAGCGTCTGGTCTATAGACTTTGAGAAATTGGGAAATATCAGATCTATTGTTGAACTCTCCTAAATAATTGACCAGCGCCATTCTTGTCCCTCGTTTAGCGCTGGCCTTGTAGTACAGGGTTCCATATAGCGTACGAAGGCACAGGGGTGTTACGGCACTGGCGTTGCATGCTTGTTGGGGTGTCAGATGCGGTGGAATATTACTCAAGTCGACAGCCGTTCCGGTACCTGGTGCCACGTCTTCTGCAAGTTGGTTGAGGTCGGTAACCTCATGGTCTTCATTCTGGCGTGCTTTAACGTGGACTGGTATGCGCATAAAAGATGTTGTCGGCTGGATAGTATCAATTACGTCGTGTAGGGATTGGGGTAGTGACCACTCCATTGCTCGAGCGGCAGTTTGATTCCCATATCTATAGATAAAATATTTGGTATCAAGAAGACGCTCGGCTTCCGCGATTGATACGATGACCCTTAGCCAGTCACCTGCCGCATTGAACCTATGACGATGAATCGAAATACCATTGTTTTCTAACCAGGCTTGCGTTCGGTTGATAGCATCCTGACCCGGGTGAAGCAACTTGGCTGCTTCGATTCTGGTCAGAAACTTGCCGTATCTCTTGTGGAGTGGATTGGAGACTGGTAGTATTTCAGTAAGGCTATGCGACCAAATTGAGGATGCTAGAACATCTGACCTTCTTGAAGCCTCTTTTCCAGTTCCTTTAACCGGACCTGCACAAGACCAATTTGAAGAGAGATATTCATCGATGGAGGCGCGGCGCATTCGCGAATCCATTTGGACGGCGCCAGATGGGATTCTTTCAATGTATACGAGTCGGGCACAGTCGTTGTGTGTACTGCCCACACTCCTATGCTAAGGATAACATATACTCTCCCCAAATACATTATTGTTTAGTCACAACTGTGGCTGTCCGCCTCGATATCTTACTCAAACGCTAACCTTGAAGGAAGCAACACCCTTTTTTTCGTTTTTTTTTTAAGATATTGTTCAAGATCAGGGTCTCTCTCAATTCGGGGGTAAGAATTCAAGAACGCAAATCCTGTCAGGGAAAAAACCGTTGTTCGATGTCATTGTGGTAAAATGCACTTGTGTCATGATTTACAATGACATTGCAGCTGTTGATGACAGGGCTGAGGAGGTCATGTCAAAAAACAATCAACAGAATGACAAAATATCACAATTCTTATGCTCGTGGTAAAGCTATTACCCCGAGTATTAGTGGTGGATATACATCTCTCCGAGTTGCTTGGAAATTTACTCTCCTAAGAATGATTGTTGATTAGAATCGTCCTCAATTGCTCTTGGTATCTACCAACCCCACACAACCACTGCCTAGGTGAGAGCAACACCTAGGTGAGAGCAACATCTCGAACATTAACTGGTTTCTGTTTATGTGTTTACCACAATGGCTTTCTTCGCCAAAATTCGACAATTTCAATGGCACAAAGATGGAAGCCAATACACATACAGATTCCTCGAAACTCCTGGTTCTCCCCAGAGTAGCCCATGTAAAGAAAAGAGATCAGAAGACGGTCTTCTCGAAGAAATACGATATCACACGCTTGCTGTGCGACGGCCTCTTTGGAAAAATGGCCGTTTCATGATTATTCTTCATATTTTGCTCTTTGCTCTATATATTGGCAGTTTGATTGCAGTGTGGACGAGCAAGAATACAGCTCAGATCCGAGTAGCTGGGATGCCCTTCTGTAGGTATCCCCCTTTTATTCTCCTATATACTGGAGCGTGTGTGACATAACTGTTAAGAGACTAACCGTTCGGAAGCCCCAGCAGTAAAGATATTAGAGTGGAAAGACACCCAATTCAGTCTGGAAGATCGGATCACGGAAAAGGGGTCTTTCTCGGGGAAGCCGAGTGCAGAACTAGACAAAGCCTGGCATGACTTACTCAATTGTATGCATAATCTAACTATTTGCAAAGGATATATTTCAGAGTGAGATCATGTAGACCCATCAGTGACTTACCCTCTGGTGCAGATGAGAACATTATGGTGGAACCAGAATATATCAAGCACTATGATCGTGAGGATATCACAGTCCGCATCCCTGACGGCGATGGCTATATCGGCACCCTAAACGTATATCATGAGCTCCACTGCCTGAAACGTATCCACCAGTATATGTACCCCGATTATTATTTCCCGGGCTTGTCTGCAAACGACATAGAAATGAATAGACTCCATAATGGTAAGTACCCTTGATCGAATCTAGCGCTTGTACGGTTCCTTCAAACGTTCAATTTTTTTCTAATATTCTCTAGAACACTGTATCAACTTCCTTCGTCAATCTGCAATGTGCCATGGCGATGTTGGGTTGATCACCTTCGAATGGAACGACAGCAGCCGCATTCCCCTTGCAAATGCCACATCACATCAGTGTGTGAATTGGGAGAAGTTGGATCAGTGGACAAAGGCAAGAACAGTTGATATGATGAAGCCGGGCTGGTTGGTTCATCCTACCTATGGTAAGCCCGAATTGACTAGTTTCAGCAGTTATTAAAACGTAAGAAGAACAAAGTACAATTACTGATATTCTTCTTTTTAGGTGTCGCATACCCGTCTGGCGAAGGTGACAAGATTGGTGCAATTAGTGGGCAACATATTTAACTGGTCGCAGGCTTTCAGCGTAACTAGGCAAAAAAATCTTATTAGTAGCAATTTCCCTGATGAAACCCACATGCAACCAATTAGTATCAACTTCTTGTGTTGCGTCAAAACAGCTGTAGTCGCTATGTTATCTCATGAAATAGCAATAATCACATCACTTTTCTCTGGACAATTAATTGTCCATGACTTCCCACAAGGGTTTCTTGAACAAGGCAAATATTGGAAGCTGAGTTTCGAAGTGCAAGCGCCTGCTCGAATCTCCTATTGCACCGGGGGGGCCAACGGAGCAGGAGGAGCAGGAAAAGAAGGAAGATATTCCTCGCATAATGGACGAGTCTCAGACGATCGCTCCATCTGTATCCGTAGACTCGACCCCATCCCGTAAGTAAGACACGGAGCTAGACTACAGTATCCTCACAGCTCTCAGAGAGCCATGGCCCCCAACAATCAACCCATGTTTCCTCGTGGCCGTGGACAAACTATCATTCACAAAACGCGTACTATGTATACCAACCTGCGGGACACTTTCCCCGGGTGGGGGGCGCGAGGCACGAAAGAAGCATTTCAATCCGCCAAAATTTTGATCTACGCTACGGCAGAACTGCCCCATCAGGGATATGCTGCATATAAGGTTCTTATGGCGCAAATTCCTTCCACATGATAGGCTTAAAGGGACAATGAGTACTTGGCTCTACGAATGAAAAAGGGAGTTAACTAAGGGTTATGAGTACCCCTTGCTCTGTGGATAACTATTTGTCATTGTGCGTATGAGTTTTTCAACCCAGATCTCCTTGCTGTTGTGCAACTCAACAGCAAACGGCTGATGGGCAATTCAGAAGACAATACTGCATCTGCGCTCATAGCATCTACGGTCTGTGGCAGGCATTTTTACCCATCTTTCTTATTTGCTATCTCTATCGCTCCAGCTAGCTGATTATTTCCAGGTCAACTTCAGCCCTGGTTTAACTACAGCATCGGCTTACCCTTTGCGCGTAATTTTTCACCGAATTTCCACAAAATAAACGGGGAAGGAAGACCTAGCCCCAGAAAAACGAATGCCAAAACACTATGTCCCCATCCATATCCTAGTCGAGCGAAAAGCGCTGGCGCGAACAGTGGAAATGCAAATGCAAAAATGCTTCGTAAAAACTGGCTTGCCGCCGTAGCCGATGCCATATAACCCCGATATGCCTCCATAACGTACTGCTGTTGTGAGTGTGTGCTCATGATGATCCCGAAATTAAACACTGCAGCAGCAATGTCAACTACAATCCATTTCTGCATCGTTTCTGCCGTCCACCCAAACCAGAATAAGCTGATAGGGATGACAATAGAACCAGGAATCATCAAGGGAATCCGATACTCTGGCGCAGTTTCTCCCCCTGCTCGTTTTTTCAAGTAGGCCCATAGCCGATCTGTGAGCGCTGCCCCAAGCTGGGCACCAATGGTTGAGCCGATCACGAGAGCAATGTAGTGCAGCCCGGAAGCGGAAACGGACTGGTGGTATTGGGTTATCCAGATAGAGGCAAAGCTCGTCAAAACGAAGTACAGCGTGCCAAAATTGTAAGCAAGGAAAAGGCTGATTAGTTGAATAATCGGCTGTGTAACCAACATCCAAACTGGCCTAACCACACTGCGCTTCAGTTTTTGAGTGAGAGGTTGGCTGTGGATGTCCCATCGGGTATGGTATGCTCGTCCCGTTTCCTTGCGTAACTTGATTGCCTTTCGATGAAGTAAAAGTTGTTCGTAGCACTCCGGAAAAAGCCAGAGAGCAGATATTGTAAGAATTGCATCAAATATTGATAAAACCCAGAACAACCACCTCCAGCCGACCGAATTAGTGATCATCCCCCCCAAAATTGGACCTATGGCGGGTCCAAGAAGAGGGATAAATGTTGCAATAGCAAAGGACCTTCCCCGCTCCTCTGGTCTCCAGGTATCGCCTAGAACCGGATTCGACACCTTGATACCATATAAGCAGTGAAGTAGTCCATAATGGAGATATGAGATCAATTACTCACAGCAAACTCTGCACTTGCTCCCAACCCTGCCAGAAGCCTTGCGGACAGCATCAAACCCTGGGAGGTTGCAAAGCCACAAACACCGTTCCATATGACATACCATGCTGAACAAACTATCCATACATGGCGGCGGCCAAATATTTCAGTCATAGGGGCCAAAACCATGGGACCAAATGCAAAGGCCAGCACGAAGATGGAAAGACACATGTTGGTGGTGTCGGGGCTAGTATTGAGGTCCTTTCCGATGGAATCCAGGGCTGGAGCAAGCATCGCACCACTCATCAGAGTGACAAGGCCCCCGAACGAGGTTAACAATGCAACCGCCCATTTCCAGAACATGCTCCAATTAAGCGGATTTTGGGGATCATCAGGCCCGTCCCAGTCCACCTAATACAGATAATCAGATTAGTAATGTTGTGGGAAGATGTTGGCTTCCATTTGCACAAGGAGAGTCCACATTCAATCGTGAACAAGGCGATTGAATGAAAGAATCTCATCTAAGGGATTAAAACTGATTTCTGTTACCAGTAGCTCATCTTGGTCTCCTTGGGAGCTTGTCTGATTCTCCTCAGCCTCTTTGTCGTCACATCCAGACTCCCGCGCGGTCGTCGCTGCTTTCTCAACATCGCTCTTTGGGGGTGTTGTGGCCGCCATTGTTCAGAATTCAGGTTGCCAAAGTGAATTGAGTCGTTAGAGATCTAAAGTTGGTCCGAAAGAACATAAGAGTGCCTCATATCATTTTAATATACCGTATATAATTGAAATAGAAGGCAACAGCATTAATGGCGCCCCCTGCCTAACAATGGGCCGAATGCTGGCCGATTGAATGCGCTGGAAATTTTGTGTAACCAGGTCCACGATGGCTCTGCTTACAATTGCTGTGTTTGATGGTTCATTCCTGCCGGAGTAGAGATAGAAAGTACTGACTTGATGCCGCCATACTGGAAACTTGCAAAATCGCATGTCACAAATAGAATCGGTACTTCCTTCAATCTTTGGCTGCGTGATGACGGAGGCACTGTACGGACCCCACCGTTCATGCAAAAGTTTTGCCAACGACGACACTGACGCTAGATCCTTGTTTGGAAATCAGCTGAACCCAACAATGAATCATACATAGTTTGGCATCTCCAACAATTAAATTAACTTTGATTCGCCTTCTAAATATCTTAAGAGTGTTTATGTTGCCTCAAATTGCCCCCAAATTATAATGTGATTAATTATCCACAAAATCAGGTAGATCTGCGGCTGAATGATAGAGGTCGCACGGGAAGGGGTCGTAACACTACTTAGTTATCTGATTTTAATACGCGTTTTTCATATAATTCATACATTTGGGGAACACAAATGGTGAATTCGGAAATAGGTCCATATTCCATGGAAGCATCATCGGGCACACGTGGGTTAGTTTCATCTTCCAATCTCGTTTGATATCCCAGCATATCCCTCTATACATGAAATATGTGGTAGCGGGGGCATGGAGTTATGTTCCACGCATACATGTGCATAAATCCGATTTATATAATTGGAAGGAAAGACAATCGTAGTAGCGTTAAGCTTCTTATGGCTTGGTCGTAGTGTGTTAGCCTAAGGACGGCTGCTAGAAGCACCATCGAAACGCCCTCTGGTTCCGAGGGCTGAAAATCAGCGGATATTGCATTCATTTTCATTCCTATCCAACGAACTGATTTCCCCATGGCAAAATAGCGTTTGGCTGATATCGGGTATATTCGCCATGCGCGCAGGGCTAAATTTTCCAACTCCATTGGTTGATACGGAGAAAGCGGCTGTTCAGCCCCATGAAGATGGCAGGAGATTTTGAGCCGTGCCTGATTCAGTTGAGTCGAAAATATTTGAGTCTTGCATACTTCGTTTTCTGGTCCTACTTTCGAGGGATCTCTGTATTTTATAAGTAAAAGATTGAGCGGTTAGAAAGAAGGTGAAGAATTAACGTAATCATGAGACATCGTATGGGTCGTACCCCTGATAGTGGATTAAGTACAATCATGTTCGGAACTTCTGAACAAAACAAAAAAAGCGAGCTGTCGCTAATGTTACCTATCGAACGCAACCAAAAGGAAATTCGACGGGAAAAGAACAGATTGGCCCAGCGGCGGCATCGGGAAGGTATCGTTATCTTCCTATTTCTTTCTTAAGACAGTGAACAACGCTGTTGTTCATGTAAATTTGAGCTGCTAATAAATCCAGCAGCAAAGCGAAAAAGTGTGAATGGGACAAGCAGTTACGATAAGGCTCATCCGAATCAAGCAGAAGAGAGTGCTTCGTCACGGGAGAGACGGATATCACAGAGCCCGGCTCATAATGTTGCCGACCCCGTCAAGTAAGTAAACACAGGCCAATCGAGGGATATATGGCCGCTGAAATGCCCTTCAAAGGGGTCCAAAGGGGTATATAAATAATGCTAACAAACGACACATAGCTTCGATTTCTTCAAAGAAATTGGGCGAATTTCGAATGCAGCCGAAACAAGGGGTATGGAGAGAGAAATCATCGACGAGCTAACCAATATTAATTCGACTTGGGAGCCGAGTTTCTTCCAAGAGAGCTCAATGCAAAGCCAACCATCCCATACCACTTCGGAGGCTGCAAGCATTCCTGATACCTTCTTAAATATTATGGGAGACAATCATCGGCGGGGAGGAATGAAAGACATCCATCAGTGGGGTTTCAATAGCAACGATCCGTCCCCATTTGGGCCAGCTGTACTGAGCACGCAGCCCGACCCACGATTGATTCCAGTGGACTCTCCAGACAAGATCCAGCCACCATTGTTTTCTGACCGGTGTCACTCCCAGAATCCTGACTTGCAACCAGCGGAAACATCGCAGTCACCCGATTTGAAAGGCCGCGTCTTCCGGTGTGAAGACACAGAGAATCATGATGAACATCAATTTCGCACAGGGATGGATGGCTCGGATGTTCTCGATAAACCTCTCCAATCCCTTTCACAAGAGATAATGACAACAATAACGGACCCATCAGGTACCAAGACAGATTGTTGTAGAAACAAGCGAAGGAGAACATCTGACGGAGACGGCGAGAGACGATTGGAAAGGGTTCTCTCGGTCGTCGAAGAGGTGGGTTATGAGTCACTGGATGCTGTAGTTGCGGAATATTACATCGGCCAGTTTCCAAAAGACTCTCTTCTTGCTTCTGAACAGTTTCATTCACGAACACGGCGGCTCGGAAGACTCTTGAACCAAGTCCACCAAAGCTCCAAGATTTGGAGTAAAAAAGAAGCCGCCGGCTATCGCGACATGGTTATACGAGCTGCAGAAGAGCTATTTCAAGAGGAAGTCCGGAGTCGACTTAGGGGTGCCATCGGGGCGTCACCTCAACCACGCACTCGTGCATCTCCATCTTTTTCATCGACAAATAGCCCTTGGGATATCTAATCACGAGGATCCTGATATTCTTTCGGGATCAGCAGCCCGACGTCTCACTTAATGACGATAGATCATCAGCTCATACAGCTATCCGAGACATACTTCACGAGAGCGGCCTAACTCCAGTCCTCACGAAGGATTTGTCTCGACTTCAAAATACGGTAAGTGAAGAGACTCGTGGTATGTCCATTCAAGAGACCTGACCAGTGCCTAGGTACCTGAAACTTTCACTCTTCTGACAGAACTAGCTAGAGCGAGCGGGCTTCGCCGGCTAGATCAGTCTATCTCGGTTTGTTTATTCTTGCAAATGTTAGGATTATAGCTCTTTCATAACAGCAGCTCAATGAGGGCTACTGGTTGTGGTCCATTGTCATTGACTTAAATAAGATTTGAGTGGTTGTTAGCTAGCTATGATGGTTGAAGTACTGAGACAATTACCTTATTTAACTTAAGCTTAAACTTTAATTAAACCAACTGGTAGAATCACGTGATAATAAGCTTTGTTGGAGGTCCTATGGACACAAGCCCTACCCCACGTGACCCGCACACACATCCATGTATATTACTTGCCGCTGACACCATTGAAGCTTAAAAGCATTCCATCCCTCAAGGCTGAATATACCATGGCTTATCTGCACGAAACCTTGCTTTTGTCGCCAAATCTTTCAGCTTAGGGAACCACTACGGTATGTTAACTCGATTTGCAAAATATTGTATTTAGGGTTTACTCACTGGAGTACCAAGTCCTGTTGCTGGATCCCATCCCGTCAAGGCTGGGAACCCACTTGTGTTGCACCCCCTATTGGATCCCCAGGTGATGTCAGTAAATGCATCACGGGCATCGGAATAGAGCCACGGATTCAAGAAACCTAGTGGCGGGTGCCCTTTGTCAAGTAAAGCATCATTGACGAGTGCGATTATGGCAGCAACTGTTGGAGCTGAAGCACTGGTTCCATCCTGGAGATGGGCTTGACCATTCCAAAGCACCGAGAAGTGATAACCCAGTGCGGCAACATCAGGGTATCCACGGCCTTTCCGATTGAAAAGCCCTTGATGCTCATTTCCAAGAGTGTCCAGGTAATTCTCAACTGCCTGGGTTTGATATCGTGGCCTTGAGAAGAGTTCACTAAAACCACCACCACTTGCAAAATCTCCGCGACCATCGAATCCTACGATCTCGGAACCCACGAGCCGCGTGGCTCCGACGCTAGTTACATATGGGCAGCTAGCCGGGAAAGATGGTGCAAAACGCCGTTGCTTGCCTCTACCGTTATCCAGGACGCACCGTTCATTTTTCCCTACTCCCCAGTCCCCACTAGCAACAATGATGGAGACACCGCGAGCACCGAGCTTTGCAAACTCCTTACACACCCTTCTCGCGTACTCTGGAGGCACGGATTGCTCGGTATCAGCATATGAAATAGAGATAACGTGAGGCAAAGTCTCCTTGCTTTGCATATACTGCAGCCAAGCCAGGTACGGTTCATTTGTATTTTCTTGATGGTCTTCGATGGGCTGAAAAGGGGGCTTCGAACCTACGTTATATGTCGTCATCGGAACTGGCCAACTGAGACCGAGGATAGTCTGTGCGTCCAAAGCGCCTTCGAGCCTTTGTTGGCTCGATTTTGCTCCGACGTATTGAGGGTTTGACTGGGTATCCCCTCCAGCTATAATCTCCGTAGTAAATTGGTACGCCGCATTAGCTTCCGCAGCGGATGGGTTATAACGGCTCAGGAATAGGTCAATGTCAGACCTGTTGTTGACTTCCCCCAGGAAGTTCACCAATGAGATGCTATTTTTGGTGGATGCCTTTTGCTGATAACCCCATGTTCCATAAATGACACTCAGACACACGATTGAAATCGCCAGACGATTGCATGCTTCTTTGACTGTGGGGGCCTGGGATAACTCATGGGCTAGAGGGATGTCGAGATGACCTCGCTCTAACACATCCTCTTCTACCAGTTCCTCGTAAGTTGGGATCCGATGCTCGTTTTCCCAATCTGGTGGGGGTGGACCTCCATATCTAGATTGTCCATGTGGCTTGAAAAACGAATTGGTGGGCTCGACGACATCAATGTGATTGACTAGATCGGCAGGCACGGACCATGACAAAGACCGTATGATGGTTGATCCATCCTCATGTTGGTATTCCGCATACTTTGCCATAAACAGTCGTTCAACCACCTCAATCGGCGCATTAAATGATACCAAATCTCCAGAAGTGGCAAATGTCAAATTTGGTGGAAAGGAACTAACTTCTTGAAGCCACGTGGTTACCGCGTTTAAGGATTCCGGAGCAGCTTTAACCAACAGGCTCACTTCATTTGAAGAGAGGTGCTTCCCATATCGTGGGTGAGATGGATCAGAGACTACATTTATATTAATTAACATATACCGGGATAGTCAACAGACAATAACACAATCCATACTCTCCATAAGATGTTGTTCGAATGTCTCCCATCCATGTTGCTTGAGTCCAATGCATACCCTAATAACTCGATTTGCGGATACAGATGATTTTCGCGACCAGCCTGCAGGCACCGTGACTGAGCTTTTCAGTACGTATCGAATGTCTAAAGATAGTAACTCCGTAGCCGAGATGAAGAGAAGAAGAGAACAGAAAATCTTTTTAATAAATTGAGGCATTAGACTTAGTTTCATGATTGATACTGGAGGAAACATCCATCGGCGTTGCAATAAGCTTCATTTCATACATCGTCGTATTCATTTTGGCCCTATCACTTGAATGGTTTAGAGTTAGTTCCTTTAGTTATTTACTTTCGCCAATTTCCCAGCCAGCATTATAATTTGGCTGCATCGTACCCATATCCTGCTGACATGGTAATCGCAATGAGCTGGCTGAGCGTCATACTCGATGTCACACTTAGTGTAGTAATTGCTGACCCTGCATGGGTTCCCCATTCCATTCCGGGCGAAAATGGTCATCATAATTACTCGGTTTCAAAACTAGTGTAACACCTGGTTCGTGATGGCAACGGATCTGTTAGAGGGTTCCATGGCCCATGGATCAGCCATTGAGATGTGTCCCAATTATTAACCTCCAGAAACTTCATGCCTCTCTATCACGGCTCTTCAAACGCGATAGTTCCCAGTCAAAATGGCTCGCCTTGATAGATACCTTGATAGACACTGTCTGGCATCTATTTACGTCCTAATCTTGTTCTTCGCCGCTTTCGTTCTCTCAGAGCCTGTTCAGTATTGTCGATTCGGCCACAGGGAAGATGGACCATCTGAAGTTGACTTTTGCATGGGCATTACGATGCACTACAACGTATCTTCGCACCATCACGATATGTACCTAACGATGGAAATCCCTCGAGAGTCCGCTCTTGGATGGACTGCCATAGGTACCGGATCATCCATGAAAGGATCGCTGATGATGATAGTCTACGGGAACCCTTCCGACCAGCATGACCCCATTGTTAGTATCCGCACTGTCGACGGCCACTCGCAGCCCAAGTTGGTCTCCCAGGACCAGATGGGCGGAACGGATCTTCGAGTTCTTCAAGCGTCGTGGGTGCAAGGTACTCGTGGAATGACGGTTGCGAAAATAGCCGTTGTGTGTCTATCATGCGAAAAGTGGCCGGGTGCTCCGATCTCCGCGCAAGCACCATCCCAGCCGTGGATATGGGCGTGGAACGATAACCAAGATTTCAAAGTATTCTCCTACGATGCCCATCTACGTATGCATAAGCACCATGCTAAAGACGGCGGTTGGGGTGTTTTCTATGTGGATATGGCTCGATCGGTTAGCACTGTCGAATCGGCTCCGTCGTTGCCCCCGATCAGAACTGGGATTTCAAGATTGGGGACATCTGACAGCCCTATAAGTGCTGGTGGTTTGGTATCGTCGATAAGAGAGAACGTGATGCAATCCATACACGGCTTTGTGATGTTCATTGCATTTTTCATCTTGTTCCCACTTGGTACAATCGCAATGCGATCCGGGTCCTCGAACTCATTCAAATATCACTGGTCCATTCAATTGGTAGCCGCCCTGTTTGCTTGGTTCGGTGCTTATTATTGGCCTTTTGATGGACCATCACATAAACACCCTCCACCATTGGTTTGGTGTGTTTTTTAGAGCAATACTCCCACTCAGGGCTTGTTAGGCTGGCAACATCATCGTGTCTTCGTTACGCATTCGCCGCCGGCACTGGGTCTCTTACTCACATATATGAGTTGGACGACTCACTCTAGTCCTTGGCTGGACCAACATTATTACCGGCATGTTGCTGTCCGGAACCAGCACTACTTGGACCGCTTCTATGGCAGGACTGATTGCCGTAAATGCTTTAATTCTATCGTTCTGGATCTGGAAAGCTTATAGGCGTCAGTTGCGTACCAAGGTGTCTCCAGCCGATGAGGCTGCTTCCCAATCGTTGTGGCCTGATCCGAAGCAAGGAGAATATTTTGCCCTAGGAACAATAGATGAAGATGACGGCACGGATTCGGAGGGGGAGAGGGAGAATAAGAAGAATAGCCGTGCTCCCTACGACCCAGTGCGTGAGAGTTCTGGGCAATGATACGTTTGGAGATGGCATATTGATTTGCCATCTATCGGCGTCCTGTACCAGAGCAATACTGAAAGAAAGACAACAGCTTAACCGTCATATCACATTCATACCTCTCAAATTAGTCCGATTGGGGAGGCCGATTATCAAATGAACCCCCACCCATGCCCTCTTCCCAACGGGAAAAAAAGCCCAGAAATTGCCATCGCATACAACTCGAATCACGCTAGTTTGATGGCGGGCTTGAACGGAGAGCTAGTAGGAACTTGAAAATGAGTGCGGGGGTAATTTTGTCAAATTCTAGGAGCCAGGTTTGGTGTTGGTTATTTTCTTTTCTATCTATGTATTGCCATGAGTCTAATCATATCATAACTACCGGCGTTTGGCAAGCTTGGAAATACGGATTAAGTATCAGAGTCGATGTAGCCTGCCCGTTAGTCACGCCTGGGTTCGGTTCGCTGGCCGGTTCGCTGGCTGGATCCCCGAGACAATGGGCCCATTGTTTCTACGTTTGCTCCACCTGAATACCATATCTTTTAAAGCGTAACGAATCATACATGATAACCTACTCTAATATGCACCAAGATATACTTCATATTCATTTCACCATCCAATAAACGGCCATAATACCGGCTATCATATGATGCGATTTAGATATTCTGTCTCTATAAATAAGAGAGCGAGCTGTAAAAGCTGTATATCGCATCGTCCAATGTTGTACCACACAAACGATCTAACCCCTAAAAAGAAAAGTATGTGTATCCCGTGACGTCGATGGATGGAAAAGATGACATGAAAATGTGGTTCGCCTGTAAAGCTTCCTATCCCAATGAGAAAAAAGAAAAAAGAAAATGGAAAAGAAAATAAAATAAAATAGGAATAAATAGAAAACCAGAGTAACGCACCACCTGACCGGCAGAATATTAGTAAATGAAAGAAGAGAAGAAGAAGAAGACAGAAGAGGAGGAGGAAGAGGAGGAGGAGGAGGAGGAGGAGGAGGAGGAGGAGTATAAAACTTTTTAAAAGGCGAACTTCCAGCCGCAGGGTACAACACACAGGCGCAACACACTCATCTCAAACCCATTCATCAACCCTATCTTCCGCCACCGCGGCCGGATCCGTTGGCCCCACGAACACAATTCGATCCTTCAATGTCATCTTCCGCACATCGGTACTTGATGGTCCCAATCCCAACCGTTCCCTCGTCACCGCCATACTCCTTCGGAACAAGTTCCCCCCCCTTTGGCTCCGCTCTTTCTCCTGGTTTTCTTGCTGACATTGCTGCTGCTGCTCTTGCCACTCCTGCTGTAGTTTATCCTGCTGGTTCCATTGGCCATCTTGCTGTTGTTGTGTAGGTGGGTGGAGGCACGGTGGTGGAGGCGGTGGCGGGGGTGGCGGAGGAGAGGGGAAGTACCTCATCGGCGAAGGGGATGGAGGCCGTGGAGGCCGCAAGGGTTTAACGGATGTGGTTATATTCCGGCTATGAAATGCTTTTGAGAGAAAGGATTTCATACGGCGCGGGAGGAGTGTTAAGGGGGTGGAAAGGAATTGGGATTGACATTGTGTTTGTGATTGCGACTGAGAATAACGGTGGTTTTGCTGATAGTATTGCCGAAGTGGTACGGGAGATGGTGGCAACGGTGGCAGCTGAAGAGAGGCGCGTTTTGTTTTGGGTTTCGTCATCCTGCGCTTGAACATGGTGCCAGGCCTGTGGTCACGTTTAGTTTTGCACGCTTTCGGTCCGTAGCGCTGGTAGTCGGAGATCGGGACAGCAAGTTGTTTGGTTGTGCGACGGGCAAAGGTTGAGGCCGTTGGGGTATTATTGGGTGTGGGAGTAATATGTACATTGTGATCGGATACGCTGCTGTTAGAGTAGAAAGAAAATAGCTCTGTACGATTTCCGGTTTGGTGTTGGGTTTCGACTAGTTGGATGCGGTGGTTTCGCGCTCTAGCCACCGGAAGCTGGCCCGTGGAAGACAGTCCCGTTCTCTGTGGGTGTTCCATGTGAACGTCAAGGGGGACATCCTCCGAATACCGTCGAGGCCGAATACGCTCACTGAGGATTTCGGAGCGGCACATCTCTGATCCGCTATCATCCACCATTGCCAATGATGAGCCCCGACTTTCATCTTTTCCGCACTGATGGTAGCCGGAAGAGGGAAGGAGCAGCATTGGGCCGACGCTCTCAATAGCTTTATCTGAAATAGGAAAAATTGGATCGGCAGTGGTGGAACTACCATGGAGTGCATAAGTCGATATAGAACGAGGTTTCGATTTCAGGCCCCACGACCACCCATAATGGGGATGATATGGGCCTGCGGGAGCCGAAAGCGATGCGGGAGCTGCTGTCTCAAGGAGTAAATTCGGCGCCGATCGATATCCACAGGGCTGGAGGGATAACGACTTCTTCAGAACCCGTAGGTGTATATCCACGTCTGCAGGAGGTTCATGCATGGCCTTCTGGTAGTGCTCTGAGGAACCCAGACTGTGAGCTCTTGAAGGCCCACGCGGGGGTGGCTCAGGCATTAGAGTATTCCGAGGACAAGGAGGTAAATGGCTCTCGATCACCCCAGTCGCTTCATCGTCAGGGCTGTAAACACTGGAAGTCGCACGCGGAATATCTGGCAATGGTTTATCGAACTTCCAACTTTGGTACTTGGTATTGCTGGGCGAGTTTCCTGGAGGAACAGCTTGCTCCAAGCCCTCCAGCGACTCTGAGGTGAGAAGTTGAGGTGTATACCTACGCATTCCTCTGGATGTCATCTGCCCGGTATCGCGTGTGCGACTGGAGGTTGGGGAGGGCAACATGGCAGAAAGTCGAAGCCGATCATATATAATAGAAATAATGCTAACATTCCTGTTCGAGTCTCAAACTACGGGACATGCGCAATGTCTTAGACTGAGTTGGCTTGTCAACCGTTCTTTCATGAGCGGAGTCAATGGGGAAAGGGAATATTTCCAAAATTGCACTCAGCGACAAAGAAGCGCAATACTAATAACCATTTTCGGAGATGACACGGGGGAGCGTCATCCAAAATCTTGCCGGAATATAACTTGCAGCATGCATGCAAATGGAACTCCCACGAGGAAGTAAAACACAAACATAAAAGAAAATAAACCAAAGCGTGGGCACAACAATCGCATGAGCAACAAAAGAAAAAGCTAACAAATTCTAACAGAAAATGCAAACAAGGACGAAGGTTAGTTAACTAGTTGCTTTGCTCGATGAGTAAACGCCGAGCAGAACAGGGGTGGTGGGGATGTATACAACCTTATAAGTTAAGTAACCAAACCAATTGTTGGGTCCAACAAAATCTGGGCAGATGATGGACGAAAACAAAGAAACTCTCCCATCTGTCTCCACAAACACCAATAACAAATCTCGCACGAAACGCTAATGCGTCGCACGGTGCGTGTCCCGGAAAGCAAAAAGGAAAGGAAAAAGAAACTCCAATATTAAGTAAAATATATGTGTCTCCACAAAATTCCGGGGGGGCCAGCTGATCCTTTAATCATGTCAATTTGGAGGCTTTTTCAAACACTTCTGGAGTAAGTTCGTCCTCCGGGTGTCGAGTTTCCTTGAACCTGCCAATTTTTTGCAATCGAGCAATCATGTCCTCGTCACCAAAATGGCTGTTATGCTCGAAGTGAGGCTCCTCTGCGTAGGCCACTCTAGCAGCGTCGACTAAAATCCGAGCAGTCATACCAAATACTTTGTAGCGGGTTAATCCCATCGATATCTCCTGATTTTCGAGTTCGTCAACGGCGGCACTTTGATCAATGCTCTTTCTTCTCGACTTTGTAACCTTTTGGTTTGTTATCGGAACGAAGAAATGGTGCACTATCCCAAAATTTAGTAACTAACAGAGACTACAAGAAGAGAGGGGCGGGAAAGTTCGAGATAGGTGGAAGGAGGGGAAGTTATATTTCATAACAATCAAACATACTGCGCCACCAAGTACTGTTCCAGTTGGTCCATGTTCCATCATACCACTCCGTAGGGTCTCCTGGAAGACTGGAATCATCTTCACCACGGGGCTCATCGCGCATCATCAGGAAGTTGTGGAATGGCCCCGAGAAGACCGCAGCCACCTCCTTAGCGTCCAGTTGGGGCATGAATGCTTCCTCTGGATCGGCATCCTCACCCGTAACTTCATCGTAGGAGTGTAGAAGCGCCACACAGGGCCTTACCACTAGCTCTGTTCGTGCAAGATTGGCGGGGAGTTCGCAGAGATGCTCTACCAAAAAAGGGGAAGGGAACGTCTGACCGATATTTGGCAAGCCGATTTCCTCGAATGCTTCGCGCCGAGCAGTCTCAAAGGGTGTTTCTGATAACGAATCCGCCTTTCCGCCCGGAAGAGCCGCTTGGCCAGGGTCTAAATCGAATATTGAAAAGTTGGGTGAGGGATCGGTTAGTGACAAGGTAAATCGGCCGTTATAGTCCGCAGCCATAATAAATAACCACCAGAACCCGACAAACGCCCGTGGCGCAGGAGTGACATACATGATTTGAGAGTCTTGGATCTGATCGTCAAAATAACCCAAAGATCCCCTAGTCGATCGGCAAACAGCAGAAGCAGCACAGCAGCCTGTCGGGACAGCGGGACGGAGTCATAATTGGTTGGTGGCGGGATATACCGTCGCAGTCGCTCGATGGCTTGCTACTAGTATATTTTCCCATCCCGTCGCAGGTGTCAGAAGGGTTGAGCTAAGAACATGTTTTGGGAGTTGGTTGAAGAAACACCAACCTTCGATGTGGGGGAAAGCGGCGCCATGGTTCGCAGCAACCTCGAGGGTGATAAGGAGGATCTTTGAACGCTATGTATATGCACTACTTGCAATGGTGTGCGATGATCTAAACAGTACCGGTTTGTTCATACCTCTCTCGAGGCCAGCATCTCTTCCTATCTTATATCCATCATGCGCGCAAGATGGGGTTTAGCGATTCCGACTGCTGCTTCATATTTGGCGCGCTAACCTTTAGTTTCCACAAGCCATGCCGAGGTTATTATTCTGTGATTTTGTGTCGCATCTGATCGGGGAGTCAGAGCCGGATAGATGTACTCTGTAGTTGCTCTGTCGCTCGCATTCTTGATTCGATAACATGGTTGTTCTATATATATTTTGAACTGGCATTGGCCACAAATCCAGAGAAGATGGCCCAACAAATGCATTTCAAAAACAAGTTTACATATATTTCAGTATCTTTAATTGACAAAAGACAATCTCACCAACCCAACCCAGCCGTCACATCTATCCCAGTAAGTTAATAGTAAGTAGAGTAAAAATATGCCAAATAATAAGAAATAATTTGAAAGGAAGGTGAGAGGGTAAGGAAGCCTCGCAGGAAACGAAAGCGTAAGGGAACATAGGTGAAAAAAATGAATGGTAGCAGTTAAAATATATATAAAACATGTTTTAAATCTTTTGAATATTTTGTAAATAATATTACAAGCATTTCTACTCTTGGACAAACTACCCAAAGCAAAATTCAGAAACCTGGGACAAGGGGGAGGGGGTTGGTTGAAACCGACAAAGAAAATAAAAAGGCCCTGCTCATTCATTGCCTAATACAGTTAGGAAAGAAAAGAAGATATATTCAAACAGACTCTAAAATGACATGGGAGACTCTAAAAGAGGTATGGTAATAATAGTACAAAGTAGAATGGGAGAAGAAACCAAGCAGAAGCAGAGAGGGATTTATTCCCGGATGTCATCATTGCCGAATGGAAAACGTTAGTCCCAGGCCGCAGCTCATCTGGGGGACGTTTAAAAACATAACGACCACAATGGAAGCGAAAGCAACGTTGCGCGCTCACTCTCAAGCCTAGACTCCACGAATTATTTATTCCTTTTTCTCCTTCTCCTGCTGCTTCTCAGTATCATTTTCAGATTCCTGAGCCTCCGAACTCTGGGTTTCCTGACCTGGAGCTGCTGCCTCCATGTTCTTGTCGTCCGTCTCATCGATATCCTCATGATCCTTCGGAGCAGTGACACCAGCCTCTTCGTTTTCAGTGTTTTGCTCGTTTTCCTCTTCAATGAGCTCTTGCTGTTCCTTGATAACCTCAAGACGTTGCTTGTTGGTAGCTGCGCCTTCGGCATTATGCACCTCGAGCTCAATTTCGTGGAAGAGCTCTTCGGGGATGCTGGACAGGACGGATCGGAGAGCATCGATCTGGGAAGAAATTTCGTAGTCCTGGGAATTCTGCGTGTACATGTACGCGTTGCTGAGGACGAGAAGGGTCGAAGGCACGCCCTTCTTGAGCCGTAGGTCTAGCCACATGGACAGGTCATCCCGCAGACGGCCTGGAGAGATACCATGCGTGCGTAGTCCACGCGAAGCACAAGCCATCTGAAGTTCGGGAACGGAAAGAGTGTCAACGCCTTCAAATGAGATGGCTTTGTCATCACGCTTAATCTGACGCATCCGGTGACGCACATTGTACCGGAGCATTGCGTCTGTACCGAAAGTATTGAGATTTATGTATTTGCACATTGCCACCAGTTGGGGTCGTGACAAGTTGTCCAAGGTGAGATCATCCTTGAAGGTCTGGCAGACCTTTATAACATCGTCTTCGGAGGGAGATTCTCCTGTAGCTCGAACCTTTCTAAAAAATTCGGCGAACTCTTCCTTTTTAGAGTATCTGGAATTGACTGGAAGGCCAGTCTCCTTAAGGGTATTTTGAAGAAAAGACCCCATTTCCCTCCGCGTAGCCTGAAGTATAGCCGCCTTTTCTTCTTTAGACTTTTGACCTTCATAAGTGCTGGGAAGCAAATTTGGGAAGAGCTTTAGTGCGACCGGTAGAAGGAATTCAGCGAATGGGACGATAACAAAGACAGAGAAAGGTACCAGTCGAGCCAAATCTTGAACTGTACGTCGGAGCTGTTATTTCTAAGTTAGCGATGTCATTCCGGTTTGAACAGTGGGGAGAGAGCTGAAAAAAAAGGATATATTGGAGGATGAAAGACGAACTTGTCGATGTTCTCTGCGGCTAAGTTCATAACCAGCTGCCATTTTTAGAGCAAGTTGTGTACTGATCTTGACCTCCGTAGCCAACAGCTTTGTCCCATCCCAATAATGCTGGGCCTCCTTCTTGATCCTCTGACCCAGTGTAAGTTTCTTAGGTTCTTTCTTCTCCTCAACAGCCGTTATCTCTGCAGCTTCAACATCATGTGAACTTAAATCCCTTCCTTCCGCAACCGACCCTTTCGTTGGCGATCTGTCCGCGGCGGCCGTAACTTGGATCTGCTCGCGGGGTTCGCATTCAGTTTTCTCTGACTGTAATGATGCCGGTGTGGGTTTCTGTGCAGTCTCTGCTGGGAGTGGTTTCTTCGCCAGGTCCGCGCTAAATCCTGGAGGAGGGAATGGTGATTGCTCTAAAGGATTTGTGGAAGGGGTCTGTTGGGTAGCATAACCGCGTTGCTGTTGCTGCTGGAGCGGTATGAGAATGGCCAGGGCATGGACATGCTGGGGTAAGGAGCGCCGGTAACGTGAAGTCGCAGTCAAATATGTGCCTAGATTTCCTGGGGAGTGGTGGCGTACTACTCAGAGTCAGTTAACTTAGTTATTCATTGGAGTGCTGTCTTGCTGCTCGGCGTACATGCGGCCATCCTCTGTGCTGACACCGCATTGCGGGTCAGGGCAACTGATTTCATACTGCAGCGTCAAGGGTATGAGAACAACTTGAGCGGAAGCTTGTGTAGACGGAATAAATGTATCAGTAGAATGTGCTAAATACGGTACCAGGGGCTGGTAGGGTGAAGAAGATTGGTATGGTTGAATGTTGAAAAGAAGACGGAGGTTATCATGATGCACTAGAGAAATTTTTTGGATATCACGTGATTATATCACCATTTCCCCATTGACTAATTCGGCAATCACAGATTGCAAGCCTGGGCACATCACGAAGAAATCATGAAAGGGTAGAGTTACAATATCATTATTAGATTAGAAATATCGTTCATCATCCTAAATAAATCGACGGTGACAGAAATATTCGACCCTTGTCCAAAATCATCAAAAATATTAACACCAGAGACAGAGAAAAGTTGGATACCACATATCCGGTTTGTTGGAGGGCAGTTCAGGAGGCAAAAAAAAAAAAAAAGTCTATGGACAAGCTTGCATCGCACCGCAGTATCGATAGATAACACACAGAAAATATAAAGCCCTAATATGATGGGAGTACTTTCGACGGGGTATCCATAAGGAAGGAAAGTTACGAAATAAGGCCAAAACTGGGCAAAGGAGAGGAATTTGGAGGAATTTGGAGCCGCGGTCTCAGGTTCTAGAGTAGAGGCCAGAAGTTGGAAGAGGCTCCACACTTGTACTGGTGGACTGCGGGTCAAGCAGCGGAATCTGGTTAACTGCGCTGTGCGCTGGAGTACCAGTTTGTTTGATTTCCATATCATCATGACTATATAGTTTGCCATTGCCTGGAACTAGAGTGGGACTAGTCGAGCCACCTTCGAGAGAAGTCTGCCATTTGGCAACATCTTTCTTAAGCTGCTCCAGCTCGTTTTGGAATCTTTTGCCAAACACGTCAATATAATATGTCGCGCCGTTGTAGACACTCCAGGAAAATACACCCATTAAGAAAAGAGCACTAGCCCAACGGTACCAGAACCACAACGGGCATGGCGTTATAGTTAGCAGCGCATAACTATACTGAATAAACATGAAGGCTGGCTCTTGCAAAGATAGCGGGAGGCTGAGAACGAATTTTCCAATCCAGGTTTTGGCGTAAGACTTTCGAAGCCAAGTAAAGCTGGTCGGCCGTCCTGCTGCAATCTTCTCACGGCGACGAACTGTGATGAGGAAATGATACGATAACTGCCAGACAGCATAAGGGACGGTAGCCCATATCATCATTGCGGCCAGCGAATAATGTTCTGGGCTACCTGGCTCGCTAAATTTGATGCTGTAGATGGCAGGGAATCGGTTGAGCAGCATATCAGGGGGAGTCATATGAATCAAGCAGTGAAGGGTAACTGGAGGCATAATATGAATAAACAGGCTAGATAGATATCGATTAGTTAGAAAGGTGTAAAGAAACAAATGCTAAACATTCCAGTCAACTCTGCTTACCTGGTAACTTTATCGAAACTGTGAAACACCAATGAATTCCTCCACATAGCAATAGCAATAGCATTATTGCCATACGCAAGGCAGTATGTACTGAGGAACAATCTTTTCGAGCCCGGCAGCACCCAAATAGCCAAGACCGTCAAAAAGTTGACAAAGTAGCAGAGATCGGCCAGGAAGTAATGGTACCCACGTTTGCGATAGGTGTAATAGCGTATTGGCATGAAATAGAAAAACTGGGCCGTGTACCAGTAGAAGAAGTGTTGCGGGTAAGCACCAAGCAAATATCCACTGATGAGAATATTGAGGACGCCCGCAATAAAGGAAATCTTCTCTCGGGCGGTAACTGTTGCAGTATCATTCCAACGAGCACCGAGCCGCTCAACAGAATCCTTCATCCGTTTCCGGTATTTCTCCAACTGCTCATCTGAAGACGGGACACGCTTGCGCCACTCCCCCACAACCCTTTGCTTCGCATGGATGCCTGTGTTTTTCAGCTTTTCCTGTTGTTTCTTAACCTTCTCCTTCTGCAAGGTTAATGTATTCTGCCATTTTTCTAGCTTTTGGGGAAGATCAAGGTTCCCTAGAAGATCAAAAACTGTGAGTTTGTCGAGCGGGGGAAAGGGCTCCCAATCTTCCTGGAAAGAGCTGCTCGTCCCAAACGAGGATGATCGTGAAAGCCCATTACTAGATGACAGGGAAGTGTCAAGTGCTGAGTTTGAAGATCCATCTTGGTCATTGGCAATCGCGTGGAGGATGTCGGCGTTGGGCTTTGTGGCGTATTCCTCTAAATGATCTGGCTGTGACTTGCTCTTCGGTATCGAAATAGGATCAGACATCTCGATCCAAGGCCGTCGGGGTTGTAGAAGGAGAATCAGATGGAGGGATATGGTGGGAAGAAAAATGCTTGGAAATGGTGGGAATATCAGTCCCAAGCGTCCGGGTTGCGGCCAAACTCACAACGGTCAAGAGACGCATATGAATAAACCACAAAGTAGAGACATTTGATAAAGCTAACTCACGAGGTTAATAAGTCAAGGACTACAAAGTAAGCCTACCCTTGGATGGACTTAATGACAGAAAATAGGTCACCATGCTCGCTATCCGGCAGATATCGCGCGTGAAGCTTTCTTTCCACATGGTTGGCTAAGTTGGAGCTCCAGCCGTGTCTGGTGATCTGTGCTAGCCGGACTGGGGTTGGTTGCAGCGGCAGGGTCACATGGCCAGCGGCAGATCCATGGATGGATATTGCCCTTGGTCCATGGCCTAACTCTATATCACTGAGAAAGACACTACGTTTTGCTTGCTGGTCTTATTAGATTATACTTATTGCAAAGCAAATGATAGAAATTGTAAATCCTTTTTGTTTTTCCATCTTTCTATGGGTTGGCTACAGATCTCGGTATTACAAGTTCATAAGATATGCCACTTCAATCTCCTCTTTGCTCGTTTAATGAGAGCAGCTCCTGCCCACGTACGGCCCCTTTGGTGGACAGAAGTTCGACTATACGCTGCTTTACATCACCAGATAACTGCAGCATTACAGATTCCAGTGGAGTGTAGCCTCCGATATCAAAGTAGTTCACATTGACGTCCTCGATCCGCAATAGTCTTTCCACGATATCAACATTTCCTTGCGAAATAGCCTCCGATAATGGATGGATCCTGAGGACATTACTAATGCCATTTGGATTTACGCCTTCCGTCGCGAGAAGAAGCTCCACCATTGGTAGATCATTGTTACGGACAGCGGTCCACAGCGGTGGCCCTGTAATTTCACCGTTGAGTTCGACTCGATTGGTCTCCAGTAATAATCTCGCAATTTCAGAGTGCTGGTTGCCGACAGCAACCCCTAGGGGTGTCCAGCCAGAGGTACATGCAACGTCGACTTCGATATCGCCACGTTCAATCAACAACTTGACGACAGCTACATGCCCGAGTTCTGAAGCTATGGTGAGCGGAGTCCAATTGTGTTGGTCTCTCTGGTTGACATCGATCATGTCTTTTCCTAGCAGCAACCTCGAAAGCTCCGCATTTCCAAATGCAGCAGCTACCCATAAAGGTGATCGTCCATCCCTATCTGGGATGTTTGGGTTGACATTATTCACTGCAAGAAGGAGCCGGACAATTGCCTCCTTTTCCATACACACAGCCAGAAGCAGCGGCGAAAACCCAAAAAAATCTTCCTGGCTGTTCGGGTCCACTGCAGAATTTGTAAGAAGAGATGACACAGCCTCCTTATCGCCATTAACCACGGCAAATGCCAACTGAGTTGTCCATTGGTAGAGCGGCTCCGATTCTGCTGAGAAGTTAGGAAGCACCAGCAGCTTCTTCACAATGCCTGAATAACCCATACGCAATGAGTGGAGCAGTATGTCGTCCTCTTCATGTCGGTGGAGATCAATTTCCAGCCTGTCCGTGCTCAAAAACGACAACATCGCGGAATACCAATTCATCTGGAATGCGAAGAGAACAAGAGAGGATCCATCCACCCCGGTGGCCGCGATACGATCATTTGCAAGGAGCAATTTCAATATCACCTCGCACTCGTTCTTGGTCGCATAATGCAACACTGACCAACCCCCACTGTCAGTGAAGTGTGGATTGACGCCAGGTTGATCAAGTAACAACTTCAGCACATCTGCATGATTTTTGTGAGCAGCAAACAAAAGCGGAGACATGGTCCTCCATGAAAGCCGACTGACGGCAATTTTGGGATCCGGGGCTGACCAGTCATTGACAACGCCGTTCAGGTCGACATTGTTCTGAGCAAGCAGCAGTTCGACGACCTTAACATGGCCGCGTTCATAGGCAATTATCAACGCCGTTTTATCATCAGTGCCCAACGCCCGCAGCGAAGCGCCGGCGCTTAATGCTTTTCGTGCAATATCTTCATCTCCATATTCTGCAGCCCAGAGCAGAGCGGAGCTGGCGCCGTATCGATATAGGTCAGCATTGAGAAGAGAGAACAAGCGGCGGTTTGTTTGCAACAAAGAATTCAGATCAGCAAGTGGTAAGATTTCACCAAGCGCCAAAAATATTTCGTTAGGTAGGTGGAGATATTGCATCTTTGAACTATGCGGACAATGGAAGCGAGGCTGTTGAACGCCGTGCTTGACCCTGTATATAATTGCCAAAAAGAAAAAAGCCAGCGCGTGACGCGAAGGTCAACATTCCAGTGTCCTGAGCCAGAGAGCATAAAGTGCAAACGGCGACTGATGCAATTTCGTATTGTCAGAACGGGATAACGTCCGAATATTTCCCCAAAAACTGAGTATCAAAAGAACGACTCCGTAGGGGCTCTGAAAAGTGATGATTAAGATGCTCAATTTGTTGCTATACTGAAATTTTGTACAGTATCTTTCAATGGAAAAAAAGTATAATCAACCGCTGTGCAACCCCCACTTCTATGAGAGTCGTATACATTTCAAATTCGAATAAAAAGCTTGATTGGTATCTCTCAAGATAACATCCACAAGATTTTAGCGGCCTTTCCCATAATGATGAGGCACCGGCCGGGCAGTACGGTGTTAACCACATAGGCCAAAAGGACTATAAGATGGCTGGCGCGAACCCAACCGCGCCCAACCCCTATACTTCCAAGCAGCACCTGATACAGTTACATTACTTTTGCAACATCGATATAATGGTTATAACTCACAATATATCATTGGAATATAATGATGCAGTGTGTATTATGATCAGCAACATATGATGAGCTTGGAACAGTGAAATCACTATGTAAATCAACCCTACATTTTTCTGGTATGGGAGTTTGCGCTAGCCACGAGTTAGCCAGATAAGCTGACTAACAAATTACATAACATTTCATCCGTCAACGTCGCGTCGCGATCAGGTACACAGAATCTTAAAGTTGAAACCACAAGTCCGAGCATTCAGACAGGATTTCACACACGTAACTCCAATTTCTGCAATCGACGCGATTTCTAATCTGAAATTTCCCGCAGATTACTTAGCACTATCTCAATTTTCCGTGTCGTACGCCTCAATTTGACCGCTCGCCTGTCGTTGGTGGGTATGACCTGACAGCGACCATGGGGAAATTAATCCGTCTGGAACTGTTCAGTATGTTCTGTCCTCATCTACTATCATTATGATATATTGTATTGTGGTTGCTAATGTGCGATGGCGCAATAGATTTCAAATCGTACAAAGGGCATCATACCCTTCTTTTCGGCGATGCCTACTTCGCATCGATTATTGGGCCAAATGGCTCGGGAAAATCGAATTCGTCGGTGTTACCATTCCCTAATGCTCGTTGTTTGATATTGACGAATAGATAGGATGGATGCAATTTCATTCGTTCTGGGAATCAAGTCATCCCACCTTCGCTCAACGCATCTACGCGACTTGGTTTACCGTGGGCGCGTGCTTCGTACATCGACCATCAATGATGATGGCTCCGCTTCAAATAATATCCAGAATGGGGTAAACGGCGATGGCGACGTAGAATCAACTCAGGATCCTGCTGAACGTAATGACCCGAGGGTCGCATGGGTAATGGCCGTGTATGAAGATGACGCAGGGGAGGAACAGCATTGGAAACGATCAATTACAAGCCAAGGAGTTAGCGAATATCGAATCAACAATCGCATTGTAACCGCACAGCAATACAACCAGTCTCTCGAGGATGAAAATATTCTGATCAAGGCTCGCAACTTCCTGGTGTTCCAAGGAGATGTGGAATCGATTGCTTCTCAATCACCGAGGGACCTGACTCGCCTGATAGAGCAAATCTCCGGAAGTCTCGAATATAAGGCAGAATACGAAAGGCTGAAAGCGGAGCAAGAAGAAACAGCGGAAATCCAAAACGCTCAGCTGAACCGCCGCAGGGGAATCAACTCTGAAATCAAACAGTATCAGGAACAAAAGAGAGAAGCAGAAAATTACGCAAGGAAGGCGGACGAACGCGATCAGGCTATCATTACTCACATACTTTGGAAGCTTTTCCACTTCCAGCGCCTAATCGAAGAGTCAAGCGCGGAGATACAGAAGCACCAAGTCGAGCTGAAGGAATTCCGTCGCGGTGTAGAAAAATACGGAAAAAATCTCGAGGAGGCTAAAAAGGAACACGCTCGAGTCGGTAGAGACGTAGCAAAAGTGGAAAAGAGCATCAAATTGAAGGAAAAAGATATCGAAGATACGACAAATTCATTAGTACCTGTCGACGAGAAAATTGAAATCTCAAAACAGAAAGTGGAGAGATACGCAACTCGAATTTCTGAAATTGAGAAGGAAAGCAACGCCCAATTGAAAACCGTCAGACAGCTTGAAAAAGACCTTAAAGTTGTCGAAAAAGCTCAATCGCAATGGGAGGATGACTGGATGAAAACCGCAAATAAGAGAGGAATTCAGCTCAGCAACTCTGACCTTCAAGAATATAACAAGCTCAGAGAGGACGTAAATAAGCGCTCCTCTGCTGCCCAAATAAAACTCGCCAATTTAAAACGCCAGAGGAAAGCAGATGCCGAAACAGTTAACAGTTTGAAGAGCAATTTCGAAAGTACAGAGTGGCAGGTCAAAAATCTCCAGTCCGATGTCAACAATATGTTGGAGCGCAAATCTAGTATGGAAGATGCTATTGATGCCACATCTAAGGAAATTAGCCAGAAGAAAAAGGAGCTCAATAGTCTTACTTCTGAACGACTTCGTGTTGCACAGATGCGGACCGAACTCGAGGAGAAACTTCAGGTCACTTTAAAGAAGCTTCTCGAAGCAGACGATGGCCGCAAGCAAAGCGAGAAGGAGTTGCGTACCAAAGAACTGATATCAACTTTGAAGCGTATATTTCCTGGAGTGAAGGGTCGGATCAGTGAGCTTTGCAAGCCCAAACAGAAAAAATACCAAGACGCTGTCAGCACGGTCCTGGGCCGGCATTTTGACTCTATCGTAGTGGACAACGAGAAGACGGCGAAGGAGTGTATCCAGCATCTCCGGGACCAAAGGGCAGGCCAAGCAACCTTCATCCCACTTGAAACAATCCAGGTGAAAGCTTTGAATTCGAACCTGAAAGGAATGCATCGGGGAATGCGACCAGCCATCGAAACCGTCGACTATGACAATTCCGTCTCACGAGCCATTACATATGCCTGCGGCAACGCGATTGTTTGTGATGATTTGGCCACTGCGAAGTATCTTTGCTATGAGAAAGGTGTCGATGCCAAGGCGGTTACGCTTGATGGGACGGTCATCCACAAGGGTGGTCTCATGACTGGTGGACGGGGCCCTGGCCATCAACAAGCTAAACGATGGGAAGATACTGATATCACCAACTTGCATAAGCTGAAAGATAAGCTCATTGCAGACCTGGGCAGCCTTCCTAAGGCTCATCGCAAAGGTGCAGAGGAGGAGAATCTCCAAGGCCAGTTGGCAGGACTAGAACAACGTCTGGCATATTCTCGAGATGAACTAAAGGCTTTAAACAGAAATATTGAGAGCCGATCCGGTGAGGTCCAGTTTTCTAAAAGCCAAATGACGAGCATCCAGCCTAAATATTTCGAGAAGAAGCGTGCTCTCGAAGCCCTAGACGAATCTATTAAAGATGCCCAAAGCTCAGTTAGCGGGGTTGAAGATGAAGTCTACCAAGCTTTCTGTCGTCGTCTAGGTTACAGCAATATCAGAGAATATGAAGCCCAACAAGGGTCGCTGCAACAAGAAGCAGCAGAGAAGAAGCTCGAGTTTACCACCCAAAAGAGCAAAATCGAGAACCAACTCAGTTTTGAGAGGCAGCGATTGCAAGCGACCGACGACCGTATTGAAGGACTCCGTTCGCAGGCAGAGCGAGATCGTGCTCTCATCACTGAACTTGAGGCTGAGCGTAACGCTATCAAGGATCGGCTTGATACGCTGAACGCTGAACTGGAGTTACTAGGCGAGGACCTCACGGAACAAAAGGAGGCCTACTCACAGTCCGCAGAACACCTGGCTACTCAGCGACAACAAGTTCAGAAACGTTCCAGGAATATCGAGACCACGCTCAAGGCCATCAGTTCACTGGATGGAGAGAGACAGCGTTATGCTTCGGATAAGTACACGCTTTTGCGCCGCTGCAAACTGGAAGATATCGATATCCCTCTCGTAAAAGGCTCCGTGCCGCTCTCTGCCCTCCCTATCGATGACCTAGTCCAAAATGATGAGGATGCGATGGATGTAGACGAGGATCCTAACTTGGGTAACTTCCAAGCTTCGGCTATACACGATTATGGTATCGAAGTTGAATTCGAAAGCTTGGGCGATTCGCTGAAGGAGGTATGTGCTAACTACTCCCATCTTTAATATTATGCTTGTTGAACCTAACCATTATCTACAGGATTCGGATGACAAGGTGGAAGAGGAGCTTCAGGACCGGATCAAATCCCTCAACAGCGAACTGGACAAAATGGCACCGAACATGCGGGCCATGGAACGACTAGAAGGCGTCGAGAACAAGCTTCGGAGCACCGAGAAGGACTTTGAAGATGCGAGGAAACGTGCCAGAAAGGCCAAAGAGGACTTCGAGGCCGTGATGCGGAAACGCTCAGAGCTTTTCAACAAAGCATTCACGCATATTTCAGAGCAGATCGAGCCCATATATCGCGACCTAACCAAAACAGCTAGTTACCCCATGGGTGGAAAAGCGTGAGTAAAAATCCAACAGAATGATTTTGATTATGCTCTCGTGAAGACATTTTATCTAACTACTTCTCGATAGCTATCTCGACATTGAGGACTCCGAGGAACCCTACCTCGATGGTATCAAATACCACGCGATGCCGCCACTCAAACGGTTCAGAGACATGGAACATCTCTCTGGTGGGGAAAAGACCATGGCAGCTCTTGCTCTTCTTTTTGCTGTACACTCCTACCAACCGTCACCCTTTTTCGTGCTCGACGAAGTTGATGCTGCTCTCGACAATACCAATGTAGCACGGATCGCCAACTACATCCGCGACCATGCTGCCCCTGGTATGCAGTTTATCGTCATCAGCTTGAAGACAGGCCTCTTTCAGAACAGCGAAGCTTTGGTGGGCATTTACAGGGACCAAACCGCCAATAGCAGCAAGTGTTTGACTCTCGACGTATGTCCTTTTCATCAACACATTTGTCCCTTGTTTTCCCTTTGTGTCCATCCCTCCCTCTGTGTTTATGCTCGTAAACTAACCTCTTGGTTACCAACTCTAGCTTCGGAAATATCGATGATATCCTTCGTATATCTTTATTTGGCAGATCCAGTTCTGTGTTTTCGTTTCATCTTCTTGCTGTGTCTGCAATCCGTTGAAACGAGCGTCATTTTTCCAACCACGAGGCAGCCAACCTAACCTCTATTCAGGAAACCAGACATCCAAGGCATATCATGAAACTGTTTTTTAAACATTCGGACATGTATGAACTATTATTCCGTTCCTATAATCTGCAGGGTGGTAGCCTTACAGGTCTTGTGAGTCCATATCCGTCTCGCAACATCATAGCAATGTTTCCGTCGTAGCTATCTAAATTCAAAATATGTCAGTTCCTTTCTTCAAACTCTTCTTCAATTCCATATTATTATTTATCCACTTCCCTTCTTCCGCGAATATCGTCTCCCTCCTCTCTCACCATCAGCTCTTGAACCAGCCCAACCTATCGCTCCAGTCCCATTCGTAAAACCATCCCAACCCCCCTAATTATCCTTTACCTAAGCGTGAAGAAGAATACTATCAGACCGCCGAGCAACGCAAGAACACGTAATTCCACTCACAGAGTATATTGAAAATAGATAGCTAATGATAGCGAACGATACATGGAGGATAGTGGATAGTTTTTTTCTCTAAAAATCGCTGCCATGCGTCAGGCGGGTGTGGTGCAGTTTCTTGTTGGATTCGGGTCACGCTTGGCCAGTGCATCTTCCAAGGCTTATGCTGTTTTTGTATCTCTACATTCAAGAAAGCCCGAGGTTCCGTATCCTTATTTTTTATTTTATTTTATTTTTATTTTTATTTATTTACTTATTTATTTATTTATTTATTATTATTATTATTATTATTATTATTATTATTATTTTGGCTTAGTTCTGTTTACAGAGGTTAATTATATTAGGAAGGGGCGGTGCATATAATGTGTTTATTATTTCTTATTGTTTATTCGTTGGCCTTGACCCCTTCCTATTCTAAATTCGTCATAACAATATAGAAAGCAGGGCTTTATATGACAGTTTATCGTACAGATACATGGAGGGAAAGCAGGATGTAATTTGAATGGACTCTAAAATGGAAACTAGGAGGGGGAAAGGAAACAAGTAGTATAGCAAAACTGGAGTTATTGGATACATGATGGTGCTTTCGATGATATAGGCGCTAGTAAGGAGGTGAAATGGCAGATGACAGAACAAAGTAAAACAGATATTGCAACGGAACATGACAGACATAAAGTAAAAAACCCACCCATGACAGAAAGAAGGGAAACGTATCCAAAGAAACACGTGGGGGAACATTCAACAAGGGAGATCGTGTTCCAATTTAAGAGTATGCTGCTCGGTGACATCAAGGCATATATGAGGGTATATTCAAATTCATAAGAAAAGTGAATAAAGTGAAACATATGTAAAAATATCCGAAAAATAATAAAAAGAATAAAACTCAGAAATCCAAAGACCCAAAATCCTATCATGAGAGCATGCGATCACACTATAAACAAGGCCATTCAATAAGGATTTGGCGAAGGCCCATCGTTAAGGAGAGCGGAAATCGGATCCCACTCTGTAATTTCAGCTGGCTTCAGCAGGTTGAAAATCGCCTGCACACTAGTTAGCATATCGGCCAGAAATAAAAGCCATCAAGAACGGAGATATCAGCAAAGTACCTCCTGGAACGCCCGAAGAAAAAACCCAAGTTGTTGTCGAAGAACGCGGAATTCGTCGTGGGGTGGTGCACGCAGCAGTGGCCGTCCATCCTCCTTAAGATACAGCTTCTTGCGGAGCCGATGGATTTGCTCCAAGTTGAGCAAATCGAAATCTGGAATAGCATCGCCGGGGTAATAGACCCACGGCAAGAGGCGGTAACGCCCATATCCGCAGTACTCTCCACATCGAGCAAGGACGAGTGCCGGTTCCTCCCCAAACTCCACAGCTTCTTCCCACTCCTCATCGTGGTGGGGAGGGGGACGCATTTTGGGCAGTTGACTGTCGAGCTGCCTGATTTTGGGTTTCAAGTTTCCCCTTGAGTGGAAAGCGTCAGGTATTGTCTTATAATATATATAAAAAAGGAAATCTATCGGCGTTGATTTTGTTGCAGATGGTTAACCTTACGGGTTGCAGAGCGATTGTATGCTTATTTTTCTGGGTAAATTGGTTGTTTTCTGAGGGAATTTTTCGCAGCACTCCACCAAGAGCCCAGGCGAATTCGAAATAGGCTCACCAATAGTACCAGCAGATGAGGGACCTTGGTGCGGTGCGTCTGGGGAAGAGCCCGGCAAGAGCACAGCACTGCCAAAATACTGGATCTTCTCATCAGCTGAAGCAGAAGCTTTCTGCACTTTTCCGGACATGCTACCTAGGGGAATGCTGAGAATGAATGATGCGCAAATAATAACCTATGGAGTAAATACCTTGAGTTATTTGTGCTGTGGTTTGCGCTTTCTTTGTGAGTACAAATAAAAAGAATAATTTTGTCTTTTGGGGAGCAGTTCTTTCGATTGGGCTTTCGCAAATATAATGGGGGAAGCAGAATCAAGACAGGAGGGACCTTGTTTGCGGTAAGAGAGAAGAATGAGGTAGAAGGAGAAGGAGAAGAATAGAAAGAGCAAGGGTAACGGGGAAGCACCATTATATACCCTCTGCTAAACCTTGGTATGACGATTAGACTGCCGAGATGCTTGAGGATCACTTTCCTTACATGGGTAGAGCAGACAGCTCATACAAATCACTCGGGTAGTGATGGGCCACTAGATAACGCGATGGAAGGTAGAGGGGAAACCTAGCTAGGAAATACATTCAATGAGAGACATTTAACCACGGATGGCAAGGAGGCGTATCAAAGATATGGCGAACCCAGAAACCAATAGGGTCGTTAGAGGATTGACAAGAAATCGGAGTGTCCTCCCCATAGCATTCCCGGTTACAGCGACATATAATTTTCGTGGGTCTCTTCGCCTCTGAGGCATTGAATCGCAAGCGACAAACATGATAGGTATTGAGCGTGAATTCCGATTCTATCGTTTGGCGTCTGGAACAAAAAGTGGTGGGAGATTCACCAGGGGATCTCAGGACGAAAAAATGACGTCAAAACGGTCGCCGTGTTTACCATGGCCGATAGAAACTTCGGGGAAAACATAAAATCCGCAGTGTCCCAGGGCAATGATGGCCCGAACCAGGAAGGAAAAGTGTGCCCGAAGCTTAAGAGGAGGAACTCCAAAATGGCGTCATTATTTCCTGTCGGTTGGAGGCGTGAGGATGTATGCATATGGATATCCAGAGCAGCTTCCTTTGCAAGCTCGCAGGGCAAGGCATTTGCAACAAAACAACCCGTCAAGGGATAGACAAAGCCTTCCCCATACTAGCAGTAGAGGATAGTGACAAGCGTTTGAGAAGTTATTTAAGATATCGGCGCGGCTGATGGGATTATGGCGAACGCTCGCTTAGTTAATAAGGTTGCCCCTTTCCCCCTGACCGTTATATTGTCACGTGATAAACGACAAGTCCAAGCATAGCAGAGCATGGAAGACAAGCTGCTGAGGATGGCAAAAAGATGAAAATTACAATCGAAAATAGAAGAAATAAAACGACATGGACAAATCAAACTTCCACGATTGTCTCATTGTCAATTGTCTATCTGAAAATGGGCCTGCTAGGAAGTAGACATGGGATATATCCTAGTACACCCAAGCCACACATGGCAAACTCTGAAATTATAGAATGGAAGATGGAAAATTAGTAAAAGGAACGTCGCCATCCAAAAGGTGACTGCTCTTCGACGTATTCCCACGAATGCCCTTTGGCAAAGCGGAGAAAGAAGGACGGTGGCTTAATGATGTATTAAGCTCAAAAACGAAGTTTGTGATAAAGCATGGCATATCACCTTTTATTCATCCTGGCTTGGGTATTTGAAAATCCTTGCAATTTCCTGCACAACTCAACGTAAAGAGGCCTGATGGCTTCAAGGTAGCAAGGTCCGAGTCATCGGATGTGCAACCAAATTTAAACACCAGGAGCATCAAACCATCTCGCTGCAGGGTGCTGCACATAACCCACCTGACCTCGTCAAAGTGAGGCTATGGATTATTACTTCATTCTGTTCTTTCCCGAGAACCTCGTTCCAAACCAGTCTGTATTCCAAAGGAGTTGCCTTAAAAGCGATTCCATGGGGGAAGCGAAGAGCGAGAGCGTGAACAGCCACTAGAAGAAGAGGACGAACACATCATTGATACCTCGCAGGATAGTCAGCCGTCCGTTTGTAATATTACCCTTAAGGGTTGAAGTCGAGGGACGCAAAATTGTTTCGAGAGGAAGGCCCAGGTTTGTTTAAACGTTTTGTCCTACCACGGTGTTGATCACCGTTTCTCATTTACCGATATTCTGTGTGTGGAAGCAGCCGGGTATGGAAAAAGAGATAACTGGAAGGAGATGAAATGAGTCGAAACGTACATACTAAAGAAATCATCTGTAAACAAATCCGCAACTCGCTATTTATTATCGCTGAGCACGAGACAGAGTTAGTTCGCGCTTGCGGATACCAGTGTTAAAGACTTACTTGGGGCGACATTGTTCATTGACTTGCCAGTTGCGGTAGGTGAGGTCCCCAACACCAATAACTAACTTACAGAGTAGTTGCCAAACCCGGCTGTCCTTCACGTCTTACATCCGAGAAAGCAGGGAGTGGTTGAGAAGTATTTCCGGCATAAGAAGCTTAGTAGTGTTCCAACACAAGTTGAAACGGAAGCAAGGACAGTAAAATAGAAAACCAAACTGGCCGGAGGCTTCATTATAAAAAAAAGTACATAAGTGACGGAACGAAGAAGGGCTGCAACGGGCAAGAAAACCGCGGATAATACGGAAGAAAAACCAGCAATGACGTTCCGTTTTCAACAGGTGGAAGTTGGAAACCGCGCAGGGTCTGTAGTCTCCATGTCACCGAGATGCCTCAGCGATGCACCTTTCAAAAGCGAGAAATTCATCTCCAAAATAGCCCGTCATGTCCAGGCAAAAGGTCCCAGACATGCCCTTGACTTCAACGTAAACGAATCCTTCTTGCGTGAACGCGCGTCGCATGTTTATAAGAGTTTTCCAGGTAAAGTAACTTATTTTCTTCAAAGGCTCTTTGAAAAACGATAACCGCGGCCCAATGGCGCGTTCATGGAAAGCTTCACGTATTCGCCTCATATCGTGGGTTTGTAGCTGTTGCTTCGAGACAAATATGGGGCTAGATAGCTTCACTTGTGATGGGCTAGTGACTATCTCGCGGGGTTTCAGAAACCCAATTGTCCGCCGTATCTTTATTCGAATTTCCGGTATACTCCCATGGGTAGGAGAAGCAGTTATGCCAGTTATTAAACTGGTTCCACGGCGAACGAATACAGCGCCCATAGCACCCATCAAAATGCATATACCACCCAGAGCATAGGTCGTGAAGTGGCTTACACTCAGAAGAGGATCGGACGTGGTCGTGTAAAAGTTCCAGCCGGCATACAGAAAGCAAAATATAGCTGTAGTTCGGGTGGTCGCAACATATGAACCGAGGGAAGTCCCTTCATAAAGCTTCGTGGCTTCTTTGTTTTTCGAAATGGCCTGATTGAATTTGAGGTAAAGATCTTCTAATGGCTTTCTTGGGCCCTGTGGTGGTGAGAGGACGGGAGCACCCTTAAGCGGACGCAGTGGAGGCTTTCGCGATAGATAACGCCTGAATGGCCTCGAAGTGAACAAGTGACAGTTTGGCGGACAGGAAGAATTCAAAGATAGGCAGCCAATGGAGATAGGGAGCCGCGGGAAACAGTGGCGGGGCAATAAATTTCGAAACATCATGACGGAAACGTACCTGCATGAAGAGTGGAAACACATGGTCAGCTGCTGGACTTTGGGATTTGCGATTTGTAATGGGTGAGGATTACAATCCCACAAAAGATCGTGGAGGAAAGCAAAATCCTAAGACGAGACGAAGGAGCTCCTATTTTGGTACTTACAGTCAAGGAATGTATTAATTGAAACCGTGATGCCTGTCATTTCGTCCCGCAAAATGCACGATGAAAAACGATTGATGTTGAAGCTCTCTGCGGAACATCTATTATCCGGCTGAGGCATACTATCATCTGCGCCAAGTCAAAAGCAGTAAGGCGCCTCAACCTCACCACAGTTGGGGAGAAATCAACGCTTCAAAGCTTCATTGTTCCTAGACTCTTTGCGGATAGGCTCCGTATATTCATGTTGCGACTGAGAGAATCGTTCCGACCTAATTACACTTCTTGGCCTATCAGCGTCTAGGTTGCAAAGGTCACCTTAGATTCAAACCATTGAACATCGTACCAACAGCTGGAGCTATCGTCATTGAGGGGGCTTTGACATTCGGGTGCCATGGCTTTGGTTCCTCGAATGCCATGTCGGATTTCACGATGCCGTCTCAATCCCTACAAATCTACTAGATGTGAGCTTCCTCGTTCAAAAAGATACATTCCCAGCTCAACAGGGAAATGCATTTAACTCCTTAAAACATAACATGACTGATGTATATCACTTCCCTCCACAGATCTCCAAACCTCCTCCGGAACTCAATCCCATGATCTCCCATATCCCCTGTTCCCCTCTGTCTCCCAGCTACTCCATGAAAAAGGCATATCCGGCGCCGATCTCTCCAAAATACCTGCTTCCGGACCCAAAGGCCGGCTCCTAAAAGGCGATGTACTCGCTTTCACTGGCGCGATACCCCGAGACTATTCCTCTAATCTCTCTGCCCAAATTTCTCAGCTGGCGCATTTAGACTTGAGTAATATTAAAGTCAAGCAAACTCCCACAGAGTCGCAAGCTAAATCCGCGGCCACGGCAGCACCAGCGCTGCCGCCTGCATCCACATCAGCCCGACCCACTCCACCAAAGGAAACCCAAGTATCGCTCCCAATATCCCTCTCCTCCGTCCTTAGCATTCAGGAACGCCTCCAGAAGACTCTGGGCATTACAATTCCCCTAGCTACTTTCCTCTCGCGCGCTACAGACATAGCCAACGAGGCCCTCCCAGCATCCAAGTCCACATCCCACACACAGTCCTCCGATTCCCTATTCGATGAAATACTCGGCGTATCCCCCCCCAAGACCACAGCCATGAACCCATGCACTTCCCGCGGGAACTATGTCCCTGAGATAATTGCGCCGGAAGAATATATGGATCCCACTTTATCTGCTTCCCCGCGGGAAGTTCATCAGGAGCCAGATATCATCGACATCCTATCCGGGAAATCCCCGCCCTCGACATCAACATCAACATCCTCCATGCGCAGTGGAGAATCAGAACCCACATCCTTCGACTCCACAGATCTCGACCTAGCCACGAACATCTTTAGCATTCAAGTTCCCCCAGCCGATCGACTACGCGGCGAGACTTTCCTAGAACGCCTGCGCGACGTGTTGGAAGACGAGCCTGAGAGTTTGGTGTTTTAACAAAATGGATTTAATGTTATTTAACGTAAGATATCGGCGAGAGTCTATATATATGTATATGTATATGTATATCTTTCCATCTTTTCTCGTTTTTGTACCATCAGGTCCTATTTTGTCTTCTGAGACTACCAAGCTCTGACTTGCTTATAAATGTATAATTGTTTTCTTCATTGCCACACTTGGGTTTCCTGCCCGACCTAGTACTTTGGATTTGGCGCCTCATTCCACAAGCTTCCCATTCCCGTCTATTTAATTGACACTTGTGCCGTTCTTATCTGAAAATAAATATCCATTAGGAAGGGCTGGAATATTAGCTACTGCCCGTCCTGCTCTGTATTTTAGAACAAGAAATGACAAAAATACAAGAACACACAAACACAAATGCCAAGCAACCTCTTTCAACAGGTCAACGTTAAAATTAAGTTATAAATAAATATTAATAGTATATAACTCGTCATCACATTCCCTCCGCTTTTCTTCCTGTAGCCCTCCATATGCCATCCTTATTACACGTTCTCCGTTTCCTGAAGCCGTATTCTAATGATTGCCCCGCAAAGCAAAGCCCCCAAACAACAAACAAGATCGCCCTCACGGGCAGAGCAAGCGTAAACATCAGAGTGGTGGAGAGTAAGAGGAAATAAAAAGAAAGTCAAAACGCCAACAAACGCCATTATTTGTCCACCCCGAAACACCTCCCAAATTCCGCCATCATCGCCAACGCTGAAACAAACGCAGGCATGACATGAAAAGATCTCCAGTAGCGGGCCGCTTCGGAAAATTGCCCCAAATGCTCCAAGGAAAAAAAAAAGAAGAAGAAAAGGGGGCAAAATAGGTCGAAAGAATGAAAAAGCATAACAAAGATTCGAAAATTCTGTTTCAAAACAGTAAACAAAGAAGCAAGCAAATCGAAAAGGAAACAAAATTAAATGGGCTATATTCGTTTCGATCGAGAATGGAAAATGGAAGAAAAATTTATAGGAAGTATGGAACACAGAATGCGAGAAGTTTGAGTCTGTTCTGGTTAATCGGAGGGACCGGAGGAGGTATTAATGATCAAAAAACAGGTAGGGCCCCAAAAAACTCCCGCAAGCTATCGTATAGTCGCGTAGGAGTGGTATTTACTTTCCCTTCCATCATCCTTAAACCCTTTCCTATTAAATATCTTCCAGAACCGCAACGTCTCATCCCCAGCACCTGTAACGACAGTTTGTCCATCGGGACTCATGGCCAGGTACAAAACACGGAAGGTATGGCCTGTCAGAGAGACGACCTGCTCCATGCGGGGGTATTTCCAAACAACGATCTGGTTCTGGCTGTACCCATGTGTGCTGATAATTTCATCGGAATTTTTCGACCAGGCGAGGTTGCACACTTGGCTTCCCGTGTCGACCTCCTTGATTTGATGGCCTGTGAGTGTGTTCCAGAATTTTATTGTTCGATCTGCGGTACCACCACCGGATGCTAGGAGGGAATGTTGATGTGGAGACCATGCGATAGCTTTGACTGCGGCTACATGATCTGAAAAGCGGAAAAGGGGTGTTTCGTTCAGTTTATCCCAGACGATGAGTTTATTGTCGTTCCCGCCAGATGCTAGTTGTCCATCCTCAGTATTCCATTTGAGGCCACAGATCTCTTGTTTGTGTCCTGTAAGCCGCCGTAGGTATTGATCTGGAGATCGCACATCACGGTGGAAGATGGTTCGATCCCTGGACCCGGATGTGAGGATGTGGTCGTTCCAAGCAAGAGCGCCAACTCGAAGCGTATGGCCTGTCATTGTTCGTAGTCGTCGACAATGTTCAGCATCCCAGATCTGTACTAATCCCTTTCCTGTTCCGATCGCAAGATGCGTCCCCTTGAGAGCTTTCGTCAGAATTTGGTACAATTTAGCAAGATAGGATAATGAAATCATTAATTTACCCTTTGAATCCAACTGACACTCGTTACAGTGTCATCTTGCAGCTGGCATAACTTGGTAACGTGGCCATTCATGGAATCCCACATATAAACCGCTGATGCCAATCCTACACCCAGTATATTACTACTACCCCAATCCACTAGATTGAGGTAAAAATCATCCGCTAGATCAGGCGCATCTAAAACTTTAAATGGAACTTTGTTCACATATCGCGGCTGTTTGCGCATGCTTTGCAGAATCCGCTGGCTATCGAATCGAATGGGGGATAAACTATAAAGTTCAGATCGGACATTGAGGTTTGGGCCATGCCCACTGCGAGGAGTTCGAGAAGGTGTAGGGTTTCCGGATATATGTCGAGGAGAGGCGTAAGAGAAAAGGTTCTTGCTGGGAGTAGAGGGAGTTATGCTTGCGGGAGGTAATGAAGAAGCGGCTTTGTATGAGGGTGGGGTGCGTGAGTTTGCAGTATCATGGATTTTTGTCGAATATCCAGCAATCGGATCTGGCGATAGAGAATGTAGATCAGGTTGCGGGACGGTGTCTCCAAAGACTTCGCTTCGAAGTACTCTGGAGTATGTGCGATTTGCTTCTTCAGCTAAAACGAGAGTACTTGTTAGTATAATTCAGCTACTAATAGAGTATGTACAGCCGGGCTTACTCTTTTGAAAATGTAGCTCTCCATGGGGAGCTCTCTTTTTCACTTTTGATGGGGTTGTCGGGCAGCCATCTTCATGGAGTAAGCTGTAGCTAGCTTGTAAATCCTGTCCTTCACGATTTGGAATGAACCTGGATAGTGGAAGCATATTAGCCGAGTCCCAAACGGGTAACGAAGAAATAAACATGCCACACGGTACGGAAGCCATTATACCGCCTATTATATGTCTTTCCCGATGTGGGGCTATTCATTCACATCAAGAAAAGCCAATGACTTACCTATCTCCATAAACCCGTTGCCGTTTACGACTTGGGCTTGTACCTGGTGTTCTCTCCCGGGGGCGGCCAGCCTCTTCAAAATCCTTGAGCGCACGGGCAAGAGCATCTGGATTTAGAGACTCTGAGCCGGGTCTATGTCGAAGTTTTGTTGAGTCAAGGGAAGGATTGAAAATAGCGGCTCGAGGTTTTGTAGTAATGGGCGGGGTATGGGATTTGGAGCCCGGCGGAGAAGCAAGTTTGGCAATCGCGGAGGAATCATTCGTATCCCCTAGGTGTGTATTTATCGTACACCCTTCCTCTTCCCCGGTTTCCGCCATTGTTGACGGGTATCAAAGAGTAATTTAATTATCCGGCTCTGCTCTTTATCCGCTGTGTAATCTGGGCCCGAGTACCTGGCGGAATTGTAGTCCGGGGCTAAAGGAAATCGCTTATAAAGAGAAAATATGACAATATATGGGGCTGGCGGTAGGGAAAATTGGCGATGTTGGCATGGGCGGCTTTCTTGTTCGTCCCGGTGTTTACTCGCTGGGCAACGAACTGCTGCAAAACAATCAATCCTAGCGACCAGGGAGGAGGACAGGGATAGGGGAAACCGGTGGAACAAGAACAGGAAAGGTATTTGTCGGTATCCGAAAATGAATTGTCACTCCTGAAAGCACCAACATCCGCGACAGACTGAGGAGAGAGGGAGACACCGTGAGAATCGCAGTGGGATGGATTGAGTATCCAGCGAAGACCAAGCTCTGGAGGTTGATGTTTCCAGAAGGGGGAAGGAGGAGCCCTGGCCACCGCGACTTTTACGCGAAACACTACTCTGTTTCAGGACTAGCGGCTTGTCCAGTGATTGTATCCAATTGCAGGACCCTCGCGAGGCAGTTCAGTTATACAGTGAAATTCCAAGTTGCTTTCTTAAAAGATGCCTGTTACGAGGAAGAAAGTGTTCTTATATTGCCCTTCTTCGCTTGTGGTCATATCGCCCGTGGTTTGCTTCCCCTAAACCCCATCTCTCCACAAACAAGCTGATTCTCATGTGCAGGAAGTAACTCTTCGCCGTAAATGCCGCCCCAGGTTGCATCCATGGATATCCTCCCATGCCTGTCTCGGCCCTCAGCTTAACCTGGGTTTGTTGAAGAACAGACGTCCAGTCTGGGCTAAATTCCCACACAGATCTGAAACGGTTCCTTATCTATTTACCTCTGTGCTCTGGAAGATATGCACAAAGAACGAAGTAAAAGCACATGTATCTGATTCCAAGGGGTTTCACAATAGCCGTCCATCCGAAATTTGTCTGGAGGTACATAGGTATTTCGTGTCGTTAAGTTGATGAAGAAGCAGCACTGTTTTGTGGGAAGACACTTCCTTCTGGTAAGTTGCAAGTGATTGAGCCATGAAAGAGACATGCGACAGAGCATACTCCGTACACAATGCAGGATCTATCCAGAGACTGAACAATGAAGTTAGAGTTGTCAGACAAGCTGTTTTACTTTCCTTGCCCTTTTGTCGAAAATATCTCTGTTTGCTTGAACTCAGCCTTGAACAAGGGAGATTGTGGAGGCGAAGCCTAATGAAAGCTATGCTACGTACGATACGGTTTACAAAGTCGACGGCATAATTAAATCTGGAGACTTGATTCAAAGTTGGCTCCGGGCTCCTTTCGCTCGACTTGAGTACATTCATGTTGGCCTTACCATTCAGGCATCTTGCGGGGAGGATTCACGGGTGGCTTGCTAGCGTGATGCTGATCCCAACCCCCAGTTTTCTCACAACAAACAATCGCGAAAAGTCGCGACTATTTCTGGAAAAATCGCAACATCCCGAACACAGGACATGAGCCTCTTTTGACTGGCTAAGAGAGCGGGCGCCAAGTATTTATTGGACCACTACGGAGTACATCGTCTGTTATTCTTCCCGCCCCGCGCGGGGAAGATTATAAATAACAAACGGTTTGAAGGATGTGAGGTTAGCAGGGGATGATTGGATCTCAGATGAGGATTCCGCTTCCATGCAAGTGGGGCATCCCACCACCACGAGACATTACCATACGAAGGCTTTAGCGTTGAAGTAGTTAACTTGCTTTCTATCCATGGGGGAAGGCTTGAAATAAATTCAAGGGAGCAAACTCTCAGTCGCAAGCTGTATCAAACAAACACAACAAGCAACAGCCTGCCCTCTGTCGTCTTAAATGTAGAACTAAATAATTAATCCGTATACCTTAATAATACCCTCCATCCATGGATGAATTTAATTATATTTAGTGTTCAGGTATTGCTGAGTCACTCCCGATTTATTTAACTATTATTAGACCCGGGCGGTTGGGTTTGTCCCAACTTTATCACATCACTTCTTGCCCTCCGCTTTCTCCAAACCTCCAATTTCTCTGCTGCCTTCGTATTGCTACGCTCCGACAGAAACAGAACAGGGCGCGCCTATCTGCTAATAAGCCCCGCGGATGATCCCAAAGCTCCGGGGAGAATCGCTCGCTCTCGCCTGCTATAGCATTCGCTCACTGGGTCGTGCATCTGTGGCCCAACCCACCACTCACTTCCCCCACCACGCCCAGAAAGCCGCCTCACTTCAGTATCAATCTCAAACCCAGCAAACTCTGAGCCAGCGGCATATCGTCAGCCGCGCTCGTAGACTATCCTCGTCGACGTTATCATCTTCATCTATTTCAGCTAAAATGGAAGCAACTAACTTCAAAGATCAAGCGAATGACTTCTTATCCTTCGTCAATGCTTCTCCAACACGTAAAGTTCCGAGTTCCTTGCCCATATCCCATGAGCTTATAGCTTTATTTTAAACTATTTGAACGAATACGTGGTTAACGATATATCTATGCATATGCAGCATTTCATGCTGTTGCTTCAGTTCGTAAACGTTTGATTGGCGCTGGGTTCCAAGAAGTGAAGGTCGATAGATCCCGATCCCTGAAACCGTTGTCACTGGCCAACTATACTAACCAAGATCGCCTCTTGGATATTTTAGGAGAGAGATTCATGGACATCCGTTTGCAAGCCGGGTGGAAAATATTATGTGACCCGCAATGGTTCCACCGTTATTGCCTTTGCCATTGGCCATAAATGGAAGGTTAGTGGTATTCACTGATGATTTGATTTCAGCCATATCATATACGCTTGCTAATGGGGATATATTCCTATTTCCGCAGCCTGGCAATTCCATTTCTATGGTTGGTGCTCATACTGACTCTCCATGCCTGAGGATTAAACCAGTCTCGAAGAAGACTGGCGATGGCTTTGTCCAAATCGGTGTGGAAACCTACGGTGGCGGTCTTTGGCATACATGTATGTATCCCCTCTACATGTTAACTTACATATTTGTAGCTAAATTTGATATAGGGTTCGATCGCGACTTGAGCATTGCGGGAAGAGCCATGGTCAGGAATTCCAATGGCTCAATCGAGGCGAAATTGGTCCATATCGATCGACCAAGTATGATATTACTGTTAACAATGTTATGTCGTGTTATTTCTCTAATAATGGTCCCTAGTTCTGCGTATCCCAACACTCGCCATCCACCTTGACCGGCAGGAAACATTCTCCTTCAACAAGGAAACCCAGCTGTTCCCGATTGCTGGCATGGTCGCTGCAGAATTAGCCAGGAAATCGGGAGATCGAGATTCTAATACAGGCTTGGAAATCCGGGCGAAAGACAACGGTAGCGGGGGCAACACGCAGTTCAATGCACCATTTTCTCCTCTCAGGGATGCAACAGATCGCCACCATCCCTACCTGGTGGAGTTAATCGCGTCTGAGCTCTCCGCCCAACCCCAAGATATCGTCGACTTCGAAATGCTCCTCTACGACTCTCAAAAAGCCTGCTTAGGTGGTCTTCTGAATGAATTTATCTTCTCCGCTCGCCTTGATAACCTCAACATGACATTCTGCGCCACAATGGGCCTAATTAATTCCCTCGCAAACCCCGAAGCGCTCGACAATGAGTCTTGTATCCGTCTCATCTCCCTCTTTGACCATGAAGAGATTGGGAGTCGTACCGCACAAGGTGCAGACTCCAATGCACTCCCCACAGTCTTACGCCGCCTATGCCTTGTTCCAGGATCATCATCGTCATCGTCATCAGCCGATCTCTCGACAGCCTACGAGCAATCTCTCTCAAGCTCCTTCCTCCTCTCAGCCGACATGGCTCACTCCGTAAACCCCAATTACGCCTTTAAGTACGAGACAGACCATAAACCCGAGATGAACAAGGGCCCTGTAATCAAAATCAACGCGAATGCCCGCTACGCGACGAACTCTCCTGGCATCGTCCTTTTGCAAGAATGTGCAAAGTTGGCCCACTCCGCTGGCAACAGTGCGGGAGCAGATGGAGCGTCACTCCAGGGGATCCCGTTACAGTTATTCGTCGTCCGTAACGATTCGTCCTGCGGCAGCACGATTGGACCCATGCTCTCCGCTGCGCTGGGCGTGCGGACGCTGGATTTGGGTAATCCACAGTTGAGTATGCACAGTATTCGTGAGACGGGTGGGACCTATGACGTGGGCTATGCGACTAAGCTGTTTGAAAGCTTTTTCCAAAATTATTCGCGGTTGGCGGAGACGATTTTAGTTAATTAACGCAACTTTCATGTTGTTTATATTTTTCAGGATTGTTTTCGGAAGATTCATGTTTGGCAGAAAGACTAACAGCCATTCTGTCGATACTTATCAAATACCATTCCATAGAAAGAATGAGAATATCAGTTCGATTTTGTCGGCCTTAATTTTACTATATGCATCCTTCTTACTTAGGTGTAGAGAGAATAAAAACTCAACGATGTTAATATGCCCTTGGTGATGAATGAACTCTCTATTTTGTTGTCCTCAAAACGATCGCGCTCGCTAGTTGCTATGAGTACCATGGCACAGGTATTGCCTGTTCGTCCTACTGGCCCTTGTGTTACTCTAGTGACAACGATCACCCCTACATGAATTGAACCCCTAACACCAGTTCGGGACAGCGAAGTCAGTTGCCATGCATAACCTACCCAGCACTGATTTAGGTATCTTCGGAACCATAGGCGATTAGCCATTGCGAGAACAAAATATAAATCGAAACTGTGGGAAGTTATTCAGGATCAATAACAAACCTTGACGGGCATATGTTGGAGAGGACATGGCCTATTTCGCATTTCTTTATTGCGCATTGTTACTTGGGGAAATTTGGGGGGGAAAGATCCAGTCAGCGAGAAAATCAAATGCACAAATTCGAAACACTGCGTGGTGCAATACAAGATGGGGAATTTGAAAAATGGTGCAGAGGCCTATTGCTCATTTGGCGTATTCGGAAGGGCTTACTTGTGGGTAGGAGTAAAATGGTCAAAAAAAAAGAAAAGGAGGAAAGGGGGAGAGGAAAAATCGAGAGAACACTACAAATCCCCGCCACGCTCACTTTGGCCAACCCACAGTGTCTTCCGATATTCAGCGCAACTGAAGCATCTTATCCATCTGCGTGATCCTACCGTTCCCATGGACAACTCCTCTTCCTATCAATTTGCAAACATGGAAGAAATATAAAATAGCTCGTTCTGAAAAGGAATCATGTTGGCTGGGTTGAGACCAAAAATGCCTATGCTCACCCCAAAAGCTGATGATGTTTTGACCAACGGAAGTTGAAATGAAAACGAACCAGAAAAAGAACAAAATAGTAACATAAAAGGGGAAACGTGTGCTTATTTCATCCGATTCACTGGTATCTGTATCTAATGGCTTCAGATACTTCTATTATCTTCTTCCTTTGGAAGTATGGAATAAATAGCAATTTGGCGCGCCTCTCTGAGCGAAAAGAACTTTGGTTTGTCCGTCGATATTTTCGGGATGCAGAAGAGAAATAAGGGTAAGCCGGATTTGCGAGCGTTTCGATTATTGAAAACCAAGTTGGACCTGGCAAATCCATTCAGTTAGGGACAGTGGAATTTGGTGTACTATCAAACGTGATATTTTGAGGAAGTCCCATAACGTGGCATGTTATTCTTCTTGGCGTGGTCTTGAAATAGGAGTTCATCGTCACTGCCACCTACTTCGTCTGACATAGAAACATCACCAGACTGGCCAGCTGACATAGCATTCTGTTGAAGTGGGCATTTCGACTTGTCACTGGTCTGGGAGTTTGGCTTGGATAGGCTGGCCGACATTGCTCCATAAGAGGAAGCAGGGTTATGCGATTCTTTACCAATTGGGCATGCGTCCATCGCCTCGCTCTCGAGACCATCCATTGGTCTACTTGGCGTTTCTAAGGAATTCCTGGGCTGATTTGATGTTGGTTGAGTTGGGAGGGCTTTCATCAAAGAAACACTTTCACCCCGATCGATCGAATCTTTCGACTGCGCCTTGTGAGGCGCGTTGCCATTATGAATGACATCCGCTGATAGCCGTTCCCGTTGGGGTGGTTCAGCTCTGTTTGTCGAATGTGAGCGCTTCGTTGGTGTGGGCAGCTCATCGGTTAGTTTATCTGCAGCTGGTTGAGTAACACCAGGGGCCCCTTTCGAATTTGAAGGATCATCACACGTCGCGCCATCCCTTCGCTTTGTACGGATTTTTTCACATCTGCCAGCCCAGACAACTGCCTTAGCCCACACTTTTTCTCGCTTCTCATTCGTATGCTCATCAAACCAGCAAGCAAGGATTGCAGGCTGAATAACAAAGTCTATCTCTAAACCATCCAGGCTCGTGTCGTCTTGTTTTAATCGCAGTGCAGGATGTGGTTCCGTAATATGAGATTCACGACTGAAACTCAGGCTATGCATGTATTGGGAATCGTAGAAAAGGGATTTGACATCGTAATTTTGCTGTCTGAGCTTCATTACCAAATTCCCAGCAGAGGCCATAATGTCTGTCAGGTCCCGAAGGCGTTTGGCGATTGCTCCTTCACCTAAAAACTTAAGTAGAGGACGTGCAATTCTAATGAAGCTGTGTGAAGCGTTCTTATAGAAAATAGTCGTGCGACTAAGAATTCCATTATATGTAATGGTTGAGCTGTGGCCATTTGCTTGTAGGTTGGGTTCTAGTGTACGCAATGTTTGTCCGATCCATTCATCTTTCTTGTCTAAGTGTAGAAGTTTGATCAACGCAAGTACAGGCAATTATGTATTGAATGCAACTTACGCGTAGGTACACACTCCAGCAGCTCGGAGAGTAACTGGCGGGGAGGCCAGATTCCCTGTTCCGCAAATTCTCGATTCAAAAAGAATAGAGGATTGTCAATGATGAACCAACAGGCAAAATGGGCCAAGAACGTATTTAGAAGTATATAACTCCCATATGTAAATTTGCGGAGAGAGTTCATATTTCTGGTAACTACCGTATCTATGAAATTACCCTCGTCCATAGGAAGTTGTCGGGCATGAGCCTCGATTGTATCGAGGTCAAAGGGTGTTCCCACCGAATACTCTTGTGCCCAGTCACGGCATGTGTTCATGAGATTCCGGAGTCGATAGCGGATGTCATTATCGTCCATCTTCTGTAGATTGCGTTCTTTGCGCAAACTCATCATCTCCTTTTGCAATTCTATATTTTGGGCACTCAAGCCAGAATTTTTCCCCTTGAGTCGGGAAATGCTGCTTTCCAGAGATTTAATCTGTTTCCTCGCAGCTTCAAGATCATTTTGTATATCAACCTTCTTTCGGGAAATGCGGGTTTTTTTTGTCGGAGCTTTCGGCGAGTCGTTCCCATGCGGCCTCTTGCAATGCTCTGTTTGAGTGAAACATCCAGCTGGTCCACTTTGACCCTGGCCACCCATCCCAGTTGCAGAGTCTCCTGAATCCATCCCAAAAACGGCTGCGTTGTAAGAATCCGGGGGTTATGGGGCAACGAGGTAGTTTCTTCACAGTCGGGAAGTGTATGACGATGACTGATGGCGAGAAGGTAAGCAACACTTTATTTTTTTGCTAAAGGCTTAAGACAAATCTGAAGTAATGTAACAATAGAGAACCTAGGCAACGGTCAAAGAGAAGCTGCATAACACCAGACAACAACACAAACACTGAAGCTGAGGTGAGCTGGCTATCACCAAACAATAACAAATAACTGAGACCAAACGAACAGCAGTAGAACTTGAGCAAAACGCTGCCATTCTGCTACTCATAAATGCAAATATCATTACAAGTTTGGTTAACCCGCTATTACCCTCAACGAGAAAGGTCTATTCAGGATACAGCAATCTCGTTGAGAATCTGGTAAGGCATTGTTGGCACAAGGCGAATAAGGTGCTCTATTCAGTTGCAGATCGTGGCGAGTTCCATCAAAACGTGAGGTTAGGTGAGCGCATAAATGATTGTGATATCACTTATCAGAGAAATGAGATTTTTTAGCTGATTCAAGGACGAGGTAGACCAATGAGCGGAAATACGCATAAAGTTACCCGCTCAGATAAACCCTCGAGAAGCTGTGTTGACATCGGTGGGAATCTCGTCACTTAGCTAAAGGCTGAAGAACCACCGCGATTAAGACTGATAACAAACTTCAAATTCGAAATTCAAGTGGCGAAGGGAGAAAAAATGGCGCCCATTCTCCAATTTGGCCTTAATGGTAGTTGACCAATATAGAGAAGATTGAACATCATGGTAGGACTAATATAATTTTTAGACGCCGCAAAACCAGACCGAACCCCGAAGCCAAAGACCAAGGGAGGGAATGGTACTTCGCCTAGGATAGTCAAAAGACGAGCTGGAATCAAAAGTAAGTGAAGCCAATTATGACTTGAAAGAGCTAATTGATTTATTTCACGGCAGGGGAAGTAGACGATGAGGAGTCCGAGCTAGGTTCACCGACAAAGAAAAGAAAAGATAGTACGGCGACTGCCTATCTAATCGTTGGTATCGATTTTGGTACAACATATTCAGGTAGGTATATCGGGAAGAACTAAATGTTGACTGACATTGCTGATTCGATTGCAGGGGTTGCTGTTGGGCATTCTGAGAACCCGGAAACTATCTATGTTATCTCAAACTCGCCAGGGAATGTAGAAACCAGGAATAAGGTCAGCTCAATAATTGCTGACAAGTCAGATCAATCGGAATTTAGGCCATGGGGTTATGAAGTATCGTCGTCGATGGACTGCTCATCATGGTTCAAGCTGCACATGGCTCCGAAAAACACGTCATCAATCCAAGACGACTCTCTTCTATCCCAAAGTGTGGGCCCTAGCCTTACTGAGAATCCCAGAGGGGGAATCACCAGAGATTCTGTGTAAAAGAATATACTCAGCGTGTTTATAAGCACGTTATGGGAAGACTCCGCACGATATATGGAAGGACAATTGTGGAAACGGTACCAATTAAGGTGGTATTGACCACCCCGGCTGACTGGGATCGGAAGTATAAAACAACATTACGTGAGGCGGCATACCAAGCAGGTATTGCATGCGGACTGAACGACTCGATTTTGACGATTGATGAACCGGAAGCGGCTGCTCTTGCTGCATTTAAGGACCCTCAAGGGCAGAAAACCAATTCGATCTTCAAGGTATGATTAAGAATCTATATTCATATCCTTATCCACTAGACTTCGAGGTTATTCGAAGGACGTTAATCAATTGAGATTGTCGATTCTTCCAGGTAAACAACAATGTTGTGGTGGTTGATATCGGCGGAGGAACGATCGTAAGTGCCTCAGCCTAGAGTGTTTACGCCAAAGTTGACGCGCGAACGCTAGGATATCATAACGTACGAAATCATTCAACGAAATCCCCTCAAAGTGGCTGAAGCCTGTACCGGAACTAGTAGGTGTACTTCGGACTTTGAGTATGGGTTGATTTATACCTGACAAAAACTTCATAGGCGCAAAGTGTGGGGCTACCACTATTGATCGAGAACTGCATAGGCTGATGGCATCAAGATACGGAGCTGCATTTTCCGACCTCCCGTTTAAAGAAACAGGTCACGGCAGTGATTTTATGAAGGAATTCGAAGTAGCCAAGAAATGTTTCATAGGTCACGGCAGCGAACACCGAAAAGAGTGGGAACTCAGTCTAATTATGGACATTGACGATGATGGTGTCATACACGGGAACGAATCGGGCACAATAAAAATCACCAGGTTCGTTCCCACTCATGCATCTTTAAGAGGACATCTCAATCATTAAACTCATTACCCACAGTGAGGAGCTTGCGCAAATGTTCGAAAAAGTCATAACCCGCGCGTTCGAAATGGTGTCCGAGCAAATAAAATTGACTCAAGCAAAGAATGACTATCCGGTGAATGTAGGAGCTTCCAAACCTGTTTTTGATGAAGGGGCCAATTGACTGACGGCTGAACTTGTCAGTTGATAATCCTCTGCGGCGGTATGGCCGAATCCCAATATGTTCAGACGCGATTTAATGAATTCTGTGAACAAAAGCTGGACAATAAGGTTGATGTAATTGTGCCACAAGAAGCTTGGCCCGCCATTGCAAAGGGAGCAGTAATCCACGCATTACGGCCGCCGGTAGTGGAAAGCCGCAAGAGTCGATGGTCCTACGGCATCGGTGTGCATAGAGCCTTTGATCTGGAACGTGATAATGAGAAAGATCAATACAACTGTCCAAGCAGAGGACAGCGTACTAAAGGACAAGTCGAGTGGTTCATTAGACGGGTAATGGAACATTCCACTCACCGCGTAAGTTGACAGGCTAACGGCTTCTCCAGGACGAAAGCGTTAAAGACAAGGTGAAATGGATCCACGGATACATCACAATGGGGAAGACTAGACGGCTTAGAGACACAGTTGGCGATTTGGTGTTGTACAAATCCAAGAGTTCAACCCCAGGGAATTCAATGGATGACGAAGGCAAGTGCCGTTATGGGCGGATGAAAATCACATGAAGAATTGCTAACGAGTAGTTATTATGATAGACGTTGAGAAGTTTGAGACCCTCAGACTTTGTATTCCGGTTCGAAACTCGAAGGGGAACAAGAATGTGATGATTGGACACAAGATATTGTTGGTGAACGAGAAGTCCGTACAGTTCGAAGCTAGATGCGGCAAGAAAAGGGTTGGGTTCAAAGAAACCGTTTATGAAGACGACGAAAACTGATGGGAACCTTATGTCTTTCCTGGGATCCCGGTGCGAAAGAAATGGAGAGCGGAAAAGAGGCGAGACAGACAGGTCATCGGGTATTTATCAGATCAGGCTGAGCTGGGAGGCTTCGATAGGGTTCGGGGGAAAGAAGATCCGTACATATGTAGCTTAGTTACTTCCACGTCCATAGAGAAACGTAACCACGAGCTTGCTTCATCGAAGAGGGCTTTCTTTTGGTGCGACTTTCTTAATAGCCAGTTTCTATTATTTTCTCTAAAATAGTCAGTTGGCTACGAAACAGCTATACAATTTGCCAAGCTGAGGTCGCTCCGCACTTCCTAGGAGGCCCCATGTCCCCTCTATGACCACGCCAGATGTCTTTCGAGATGCGCAGTACATCGCCGACGTCTCGAACATTCCCTATGACCCCCGCGATGACGACGGAGACAGAGATCGGCCCGAGGTGTCAGGGAGGTCCTACCGGAGGGCTGTTTATGCAAGCTCGAAGATGGTCATGCTCGAGAGGTTGTTGCGCGACTTGGATATGTTGATCTATTGCGAGCTGTCTGCAGTTTATTATATGGAGTAAGTCACCATTTTCTCCTCTATGATTATTATTTCAAAACTACCTGGTGCTGATGTGTTTAATTCGCAAATAGCTGCTCAATCTTCCATTTCGCTATCCGCGCCATAGTCCAATTCATCTTTTTCACACCCAAGGCTGGGCCATTATCCGAATCATCAACGAACGAACCCTCCATCGTAGCTGTTTTTGCGAGCAATATATTGTGCATATTCCTCCACTACGTATCATCTACTCCTACGGCTGGCGAGGTGTCTCGAGGCTATCTACATGGTGGCTTATTTATTGACTTCATCGGGCAAAAAGGTCCCATTTCTAAATTCCACTTATTCCTCCTCGACATGCTCATTCTCTCGATGCAACTTGTCATGCTTTGTGTCATTCTGGAGAAGGAAAAAACGAAACTCCTTGCGAGGCCAACAGATGCGGCAAACCGTCCTCCAAATCTACAAGACCACGATTCCGAAGAACGAGGTGTCGCTCCCGATCACCTAGCAAGAATGAACGATCAAGCCACTGCAGAACATATGGAAATGCAGGACCTGTCATTCCCCGGACGAGCTTCGGCGGATGATAGCAATGCTAGGCTGTTTGAATTCGAGTATGAACGTGGAAATTCCATGCTGGCCAGGGACAGACATCCTCGTGACCATTTCCTATCAGCTCAGACGGCCATTGCGGATATAAATATCCTTCAAACCATTCGGGATCAGTGGCACAATGTCTCGCCAACGAACTCCAGTCGATCAACTGGTTCTCAACCCACTTCATCGACTCAGAACGGCATAGTGGTACCCTTCCTGCAACGACGCTTTCGATTTCAGCTGCGCGCTATTTCGTGAAATCCCATATCATTATACACCATACATTTAGGACATGATTTCTTTAGACATTCTAAGGCGTTGGCGTTGGACATACTCATCCTTTTATCCTCAATTTTTATTAACGAAGTGTATTTTTGACTTTTCTATATTCATACTTTTATTCCTACTTCTTTGCCAAATATGTATCGCATAATCCTTTTCCCCAGGTCATACTGTACATATAGAGCCCGAATTGCGTTGCGCCGCCTTGATATGTAACTACTGTCAGAGACAGAAACGAATCAATGAGGTGGAAATTTCAGAAGTCACATAATTCCATCTCGAAGTAGAGAGCGGGAAGGGAATAGGCATTACCACACAAACATATTCATACAAACAATCAAAAACGTACAAACTAAGTCCTATGAACTCCCCTATTCCTTGCCACCGCCACTGTTCCCCCCATCATCCGTCTTGGGCTTTATCCTCCGATCCAAAATCTCATCCACAATCCCCATCTCCAACGCCTCCCGCGCCCCCATGAAATAATCCCTCTCCATCCATTTCTCAATCTCATCCAGCGACATCTCCTTCGTCAAATGCATCTTATAGATCTCGTTGAGTTGGCGGCGGACGCGGAGAATCTCCTTGGCATGAATGGCGATGTCTGTCGCTTGCCCGAAGTAGCCGCCAGAGGGCTGGTGAACCATTACGGAGGAGTGAGGGAGGCAGTATCGTTTGCCGGGGTGGCCGCCGCAGAGGAGGAGTGAGCCCATGGACGCTGCTTGGCCAACGCAGATAGTGCTGACGGGGGCGGAGATGTAGGTCATTGTGTCGTAGACGGCAAGGCCTAGGTAGAAGAAAGGCATTGAAATTGTCAGGCTAATGGGACATATGTATTATATGTTAATGTCTAGGCTGTGCGAACCTGCCGTTACAGATCCCCCGGGCGAATTTATGTAGAGATGGATTGGCTTTTCCGGGTTGTCTGCTTCGAGGAATAGCAGTTGGGCGACGATGGAAGCAGAGAGACTTTCGTCTACTTCGCCATTGAGGCAGACTATGCGCTCCTATATATATCATTAGCGTTCTGTAAGGCGCTTCTCGCCGCTATTACTTGAATGAAGGTGATACAACATGCCTTCAAAAGTCGGGAGAAGATATCATCTGTTTATGGGTATATTGTCAGCGCTCCTTTTCCTCCGATGGAGATTAAAATTGCCAGAAGCGCTCAATGCGTACATGTATGCCAACCACCTCCCTGATCAGTTAGCCTTCATAGCCTTGTTCCGCGGTCGAAAATATTTGGAAACTTACCACGGTTTCAGTCACAAAGGGAGTGGGTGTCCATCCTCGCGGCGGAGTTAGACTTGGTCTGCTGGAGTAATTCCTCATCGTGAGGCGGAATATCTGCCGGGCTGATGGATTTAGCCATCTAAAGGAGTTCATTGTGAACCTTGCTATATACAGGATAAATTAGGTAGAGGCGTAGGATAGTTAGTGTGTCGAGGTTGAATGCATCGATGCCAAGCCCGCCGACTCTGTCAGCTGCGTTTTTGAACTGCTTCCGCCCAACAGTAGAAATGCCGATAACAACAAACATAAAGACCCAGTTGCCTCTACAGCGACTGGACAGCTCGAGCGATGACTACAAGATGTCCATACCGCCACGTTTCATATGCATCATGGCGTCTAAAAGCCTTCCATCGCCTGGCCGTTGAAGTTACTGCCAGCCTTCCTGCGCAACGGAGCTTCATGACAGGCTCTGGCTGCCAGTTCCCGAAACCAAATCCTAACCAGAAAAAACGACGTGGGAATACAAGACGACTAAGAATTGAGGAGCTCTCGAAACTTGAGGCCCTGCGAACCGAACTTTCCGTACTCGCTGAAGAATTGAAAAGTAAACCACAAGTTACGCAATCGCCTGGCGCGTCTATCCCGAGTGAAAGAGAAAACAGCATATCAAACCTGTCCAGACAGCCGGAAGACATACCAGAAACCCATACGCGATTTTCTAATTTCCTCCCCAAATCCCCCATTGTTACAAGACTAGAACAAAGGGCGCAAAAACTAAAACAACGCGCCAACGAACAAGATATTGATCGCCTAAAGTACAACCCATGGGCACAGCTGTTAGCAAGCCCCGTGCGCATGTGCGCTGCGACTGGAGCCCGGGTACCAGAAAAACTGCTGGGGAGCTGGGGCCTGGTTCAGCACCCAGAGACACAGAATCTATGGCTCATGCCTGTTGACTTGGTTAAAGAGGAACTTCAGAGAGTGAGCCTGAAGAATGTTTCCGAGGTGGACCCTGGACTACCATCTCCACCTCCACGATCCAGCTTTCCTAACTTCTACATGACGAATGACGAAGAGCTATTGGGTGCGATCTCTAAGATGAAAGGGTCCCAGCCCGGTCGCCTTATCTCTAACAATTGGAAAGTTCCCAAGGGGCCTTTGCCGCGGAAAATGTCTTATGTTTTTCGAAAGGACATGCCAGAATTTTTTTTAGCACGGTTGAGGGAGCGGGTCTTGGCATGGCTCAAGAAGGCGAAGAGGTTACGGCCCTTGGGGGAAATCTCTGGGGGTTGGACGGTTTTAGACACGAGGACGGATATTATTGGAGAAGAGGGGCTGGGGGGAAGTTTGCAGAAATTGGGGGGTTTGGAGCATGCAGCCTGGGGAGCGGTGTTAATATTGAGAAGGACAGGTGAGGTGGACGGTCTCAAATCTTCATCGGGAGAAGGTTCTGTAGTTGGTGAAGATATTCCCAAAATACCTTCTACCTCCATAGCAGGGTCGACGGATGAGTCAATGTTTCCAAACTCCAGTAATGTTCTAGGAGTTCATTCGGAATCGGGCCAGACATCCCCCGAGCTCCCGAGATACATTGCTTTGCCTGCCACAGGCTCGTTAGTCCCAGTATTCGATCTCACGACTCTCCTGACAAAAGAACAAGTCGAAACTCTCCGCCACCATGCCGATATATTTCAGCACCCTGCAGTGTTTTATCGGCCAGGTCAACGGGCAACCGTCTCCATAATATCTTGGCTCTGGAAGCTCAAAATCTATATGATGGATAGATCCTGAAATACCTGGTTTATACCCGACTAGAGTGTATAACATAATATTCATAGAAACTGTTTCAATCCATGAAATAAATTTAGAGGTAACAACCAGTGTCCAGAACATAATATTCTAATCTATTGCTGGTCTATATGTGCCTTTGCCTTACCCGTATCTAAATAGAACAGATCTGATTAAACCATGAGTGTATCGAGGTTTATCATACCTTGAAAGCAAAATAAATCTCAACCTCACCAACGCTACGCAGCTTCAAGCAGGTCTTTCAACCCATCCACATAGGCCGTCGGTCTCAACGGTCCCGTCGTAAAATCTACCTTGGTATTCACTCCAGTCAAAACCGCTAAAGTGCCCCCCAAACCACCCTCGATTCCAAACCTAATATCCGTATCCAACCGATCACCAACCATACACGCCCTGTGCCTCTGCAGTTTAAACTTCCCCTCAATCGCATCCATCATAGCCTGGCTAGGTTTCCCCAGCGCAACAGGCTCCTTACCACCCAACATCCTTATAAGCGGTGCACTTATTGTCCCCGCGCCAGGAAAAAAGGAGCCAGCATTGGGAAGTGTGACATCAGTATTGGTCGCAAGGAATACCGCTCCGCGCCGCAAGTAGTGGTACGCAAGCGCCAGTTTCAGGTAGTTTATGTGGAAATCGAGGCCGGCCAGCACGACGCCGACTTCCGGGTCGATAATGGAGGGATCGCCGGTGGCGATCTGGCCGAAGTCGTGTGGCGATATGTCGCGTCTGTAGGTGGGATCTGTGCCGCCAATGAAGGGGACGTTTTCAGCGTTGAGTTCTTGTTCGATGCCCGTTTCACCAAGGACGAAGACTTTCTGTTTATTCTGGGGCAGGGTGAGGATGCGGGAAATGTAGATTGAGGCGCTGTAGGAGGAAGTGAAGATTTCTTCCTGTAGGTAGTTAGAAATTATGTATCGCATCTGTCAGAAGAGAAGGGAGGAGGGATTTCAAGTTGCATACGATATCAGCCGGTATTCCCAGGCTCTCCAGTTTCTTTTTATAATCCGCGCGAGACTTGGTGCTATTGTTGGTAACGAAGATAATCTGCTTTCCTAATTACTTTCCAACGAAGTTTTGTCCGTCTGTTATTAAATATTCCTATCTCCTTTGGGAAATCCCGTGCGATTCGACATGGTGGAAAACCGTATGTGTCCGGGCATACACACACATCTGATTACACACCTTTCTGCCTTAACATCTCCAATGTCTCAACCGTCCCCTCAAATGTAATGTCTCCTGACCATAATACGCCTAGATATCAACTTGTCTTCTCAGTGTGTGGACTGCATTTGGGTGGAATTCAGCCATGGGTAATGCTGCGGGGTTGCGGGGCGGGATATGTGGAGGGGTTACAGACCATCGCAGTCAAAGAGAAAGACCTGTAGAAGGGCAATTCAGTATATGCCTTTGAAGAATTGAGTCTTCTTACAAATATTCGCAGCAAATTTCGGAAGCGGAAGGCCGAGCAACCAACAGTATCAGGCGCATCTTACTTACATCAAACTTATTAAGAAATTCTTGGATGCCCGCAGGATCGCCCGTGAGGTATTTAGGCGCATCCACCATTGTTCCTAGGGATTAATGTTTCTAGGAAGGTTTTCAATTCAATAAGGACAGCCTCAATCGTATTGATAGTGTGCAGCACGGGATTGAATGGCGCAGAAGCGATCTCGTTTCAGTTTCAGCGTCAACAGCGACAAGCGAGGTGAGAAGTTACCAAACTCAGTAAATGTAACGGAAGGCCCCAAGCCATTGGCGGCCACCACAATGATAAATATAAATGTCGGGCGCGGCTGGCCGTCCTTCTGTTCTTTTGGCCTGGGTGGTTAGGATTGAGTGCCTGGCTAGTAAAACAGTGCTCCTATATAAATATAACCTGCCGATTCGCTATTTTAGAGTTACTTGACAACGGCCTAGGTCAAGGGGAGTTGAAGTAGATTGATATCAAAAAATATAGGCCCCGTTGTCATGACTGACAATATTGCCATTCCTCCAATGTAACACAGCTAATTAAATCATGGATCATAATTTGCATTTTCATTATGAGTATGTAAGAAGCAAGTGACCATTGTGGTCGACTATTTTAGTTACGAAGGCCGCCCTAATATTTCCGATATTCTCAACACCAGGTCTAAGAGGGTGAGGTGTTCGTCCGCTCCATCAATCAGCCGCTTATCAAACTCGGAGAATACCATGACGATGCTGTTTTTGTGGATGTCCGGTATGGAGTCGTCGAACACTATGATTTGATATAGCTGTTTTTCATCCCGTCAGTCAAGGGTTACCTTAGAACACACAAAAAAATACAAGTTTACCCACATACCTGTGTTAACATCTGCGATGCACTCCAACCATCCGCCACGATATCAGTTACCACCTGCGAAACAGCTTCATACGATGAACGGCCCTTTTTCGGTTGCAGCGCCTTGATCAATCGATCGACAACATCATCAGGAACAACTCCAGCAATTTCCTCAATGGTTTTCACAGTAATGACCCCATCTTCACCAGCATCAACCATCTCCGTATCTCCAGATTCATCCTTTCCTCCTGGCTTTGTTCCCTCCGTAGACCCCACCAGCCGCGCCGCACTCTGCAAGTACGTAATAGCCCGGCGCAAATCACCCTCACTGCACCGAATCAACGTCCTAATACACCCATCGGCAAGCCTAAGTTTCTCCATTCTCGCAATTTCCTCCAACCTACATCCCGCCGCCGACCCGTCCAGCGCCTTGAAGCGGAATTTACTACAACGGCTCGCCAACGGATCAATGATCCTCGTGACATAATTGCACACAAGACAGAAGCGAGTGATGCGACTATATCGTTCCATAGTGCGTCGAAGCGCCGATTGCGCATCCTGCGTCATGCTATCGGCTTCGTCGAGGATGATGATTTTGAAGGGCGGGCAAGGGTATTTTTCGCGGTAGGCGCTGTCCGAAAGGGGAGGATGTGATAGTTGCATTCTTGCGAAGTCTTTTATTTTCTCACGCACGATGCTGATGCCACGTTCATCGGACGCGTTAAGTTCTAGGATGCGGGAACGGTAAAGTTGCGGGCCGTAGAGGGATTTGGCCAGGGCGAGGATTGTGGAGGTTTTTCCAGTTCCTGGGGGGCCGTAGAAGAGCATGTGGGGTAGCTTTGGCATTTTTCAAAATATGAACTCGTAAGCATATTGAGCTGCAATGGAGGATTTTTTGTTATTGGGCAGAAAAATATATACATTTGAAGCTTGTAATGTTCGTTGGAGAACTGTGACTGTATGTTCCTGAGAAGCGACATCGTCGAGAGTTTTCGGCCGGCTGAAGCGCGTATGGTTAGCAATTGAGCTGTTAACTCGACATGGAATTTGATTTGACATACTATTTCTCAACCCATGGCTGCAGCCTTGTGGTATCACCCTCTTTATCTGAAGCTATTGGTTTAGGTATAGCAGCCCCCGCAGCTGCTGCGCGAGCTTTGTTGCTGAAGAAATTCGACGCCATGTGGGATATCAAATCAATCAAATGTGAAAATAGCTGAGATGTTATATAGGTTGAGGAAATTTAATTGTGAGAGGTACAAGGTCTGGAGAACATGAATTGACATACAATAATGCATCGGAAAAAGGCTGAAGCTACCTAGGTAGGTCACGACGCGTGGATCACGTGTGAACGCGATTCAATCTAGATTTCCAGGGCGATTTTGTAAAGTACCAACCCAACAAAATCGTATGGGAAGGTACTTGAACAATAAAATTCATATATCATATCTCCCCAATTCATAATACTAATTACCTAGGGCCATATAAACAAATACAGCCAAAATCTCACAGCTCGTCCTTTCTTTGCTCATCCATGATCGTTTCCTCATGCATCCTTTTCTTGGGATTCCGAGGTAATTGCTCCTGTCTCCGCCTTTCTTCGGGTGATATATCATCCACATTCGTTCCCTTTTCGCTATTGTCATTTTCCTTCTGAACTATATTCTCTATTTCATCCACTATACTTTCGTTCTCCACATGCGGGATTCCAGTCTCTTGATCATGCACTGATGACAACGATGATGGTTCGGCTGTGCTCTTTGACGTAACACCGCTAATTACTGTCGGCGGTGTCCCTGAAAGCAAACTAGTTCCCGAATTGCCCAGTGACATCGATGTGAGAGAACCTGATAACTGGGTAGATTTCGGTGAATTTGCCAAGCCCATCCCAGCGAAGATCGGTACTATTATCCGAGCCATCAGCTTCAAAGGCATCCAGAGCATCCACCAGAGCGGCCCGTAGAGTATGCGCCGGAACACGAGCCAGACGATGGTTCCGATTAGCAAATAAAATGCAGTTTCAAGGTACCATGTATCTGATTTTTGTGAACGGAGCAGCGACGCGGCGAGCGAACGAGATGAGGCGAGGAGTGTGTCGAGGGTACTATATGACTCGGAGAGCGAACTAAGCGCCGCTGTAGATTGCTCTGGAGCGGATCTGTCAACATAAACTTCCTTCCTGAACAAATTAAGAGGGGGGGATCAAACCTAGAGTGTCCTGCGCAAACTGGCTCCTGGACAGCTCCGTTTGCATAAGTTGATGCGTCCGCCTCAGCGCAGCAGTAACATCCTCCGAAGCGCTGGCTACCAAAGCATCATGCGTAAGGCCAGCACGGCCCTTTCGCCGTATATGCTCCGTGCCTTCTCCGCCCTCAACCCCAGCAAACAACAGTTGTCTCTCTTTTCGCCGTGCAGCCTCCGCATTTCGTTTCGCCTGTAACTGTGCTTTGCGAAATTGTATCCGAGCACTATTTTCGTAAACCGATCAGCGGAATTACGCACAACCGAACCTCCAAATAATAATATCATTATGGCTATATACCCACCTCTTCAAATCCTCCTCCAACTTCCCAATCACAACCACCACCCTCTCCCTCTCCGCTTCCCTTGCTCCACTTTCCCTCTTCCGATTCCGCGTAGTTTCCAACTGCTCGAGCTCAACGCGCAGCAACTCCATCTGCTCCTCCATCTCCTTTAGGCGGAGATGGATTTCCGCACCGAGCTCGAGACGTGCATCGTCGCCGGAGCCGGAGGTTACGGGTAGGTTTTGTAAACGTTGGATTAGGGGAGTGGTTTGTTTGTGGGTTGTTGAGAGGGAGTTTATGCGGGTTTGAAGACCCGGGGAGATCATGTTCGTCGTAGATGTAGGTAGGTCGTTATATTGCTGCGACAACGCTTGCACTTTGCTGGGGATTAGAGTACTGTGTTCAACATAACAATATGGCAACCTCGCCCATCTCACATGCTTCTTTACCGCCTCGTGGAGCTGGTCTGGTTAGCACAAATATCTAGATTCGTAGATTTCACTGGATGTGGAATCTGGCAACTATGAATAGCGGACAACTTGTTTGACAACATTACAAACAAGACACCACTTCTGATGTCTTGGCATTTCAAACCCGCCTGTGGCATCGCAAAACAAATCCATCATCTTATAGAGGTAAAACGGAAAGAGAACGGAAAAACGGACTCACTTCCTCGACATCTCATCTTTTTCCTGTGAATATACCGCTTGCGCCACGTACAGTTTAATCCGCCTTCTCTTTAAATTTCCGATCCGCCTTTCTCTCAACCCAATTGAGCCATTCAATCAGCGACCCAGAACGTTCAAGCAAAAAAAAGGCCCGTTATATAGCTTCAATACAATACAGCACCTCAATTGCAAGACAGAGAAACGTACTACACAACTCCACAAGCCGCTGGGGGAAAAGGTGCATATATATACTCCATATCGACCCCCTTCATGCCATCCTACAACTTCGCTGCTTCGTCCAACAAACACAATATCAATACATAACTAACGACCTCTCCTCCGAGCCCCTCTCTATCTACCCAAGCGGTCCCCAAAAACGAAAGCCAACCCCTAATTAACTCCTCAATATCCAATAAAAAAGGAATAGAGAAACCGAAAAAAAGGGGCCTACAAGAACAAAAAATGTCCATCCCCCTCCACACCATAACCAGCCTCCGCACGACCTTCTCCCCCTTCAGCCGCCTCTCAAAACCCTGCCGCCTCTTCGTCTCCCTCCTCCAAAACCCTGCGACCGCCTCACCCGCCTCCTCTTCACACATCAAAATCGACATCACGCACCTACCACGCGACTCCAAGCAGCTGCCGGAGATGACGGTAGGGTTTAAGGGGGGCAAAGGAGTTAAGGTTGGAGGTGGGGAGGTTGGGGCTAGGGGTTAAAGGATGTTGTAGAGGAAGTGGGGAGGGTGGGGAGGGTGTTGGCTAAGGAGGAGAGTTTGAAGGGGTAAGATGGATGGATAGATAGGTATTTAGAGAGAAGTGGGAGAGGGGGTTGTTCTTTTTTTCATTTTTATTGGGTCATGGTGATGTATTTTGGGTTTTATGTTATGATTTTCTCTGGAGCAATGGAGCGGGGAGGGTGGTTTGTAAATAGATGGAGGGAGATATTTGAGTCTATGTACTATACGTCAAGCGTCGGCCTGTTTTGATTATAACTTTGCCACTGGGGAGTAGTCGCACATGGTTGAGATTGGCTATGTGCTGTATCAATCGTTGCCGTGTAATATCTGTATGAAAATATATAACATATTTCACCACGAACTTGGGAGATCTTGGACATTGGTACAAATGATACGGTCCACTTTAGCTAACATCAATCAAATCAATAAGTTTCAATCTTTTTATATTCATCCATTCAATAATTATGAGCGTAAATCAACTTATTTTGGTTGCTTCAGCTGTTGAAGATCAGAGGTCGCTATACATTTGGGAGTGTTGATAAAGGGAATTGAAAGAAAGAAAGGGGGAGGGGGGGTTGACATGTATTAAGCTTCACGATAATGGATTTTTACCCACAGCGCGGATGAGGACTTCACCAAGCCAATCGAAACTCTTATCCGACCGGGACGCAAACAAAAGCGAGCAAAAATCATCTTCCCCGTAAGTATAACATTGCACCGCTCATCCTACGATCATTCAGCCCATCTCTCTTGTCGCGCGAAGCAGAATGTGGGAGGCATGTTCGACAATGGTAGATGAGGCTGAGGACTTCTTCGTGAAAGGGTCATCAAACGCAAAGTCTTTTGGATCATAGTATCAGGAGTTTTTCCAATTCCGGCAGTCCCCAAGTCACCATCCAGTCAGAAGTCATCACCAACTCTGCGTCGCCCGTTCGTCCGGCTTGAACATAAGCATTGTTCGAAGCATAGCTAGGATAGCTGTTGTCTCCATCCCGCTAAATTCATAGAGCTGATTAGTGGAAACTTGATTGAAACTGGATGGTAGACAAAGAAGAATATTTCCCAAGGTATTCAGAATATCTACGTCCTCACACATTAAAAGATACTTATGAATCCCTCTAAGCATCCGTATATGCAACTGCCAAACCAGCCATGCTCTTCTAACGCCTGCAGCTTCAATTCAAAGCAACATGAGAATTTTGCTGCAGCGACACTGTTACGAGCTGGGGGCTGTCACGCAGCATCGATGGCGTCCGTTGGGAACTTGGAGTTAAAATTTGTCGGAACTAGATAAAGTCCGAATATTGACCCAAATACTGAATATCAAAAGAATAATTGAATTTCTTCTATTAACTCCAGTAATTACATGATATCTAGGCAGTATTTATAAGAAAGAAGATGCTTGAACATATGATAGGGGCAGTGCTGATATCTTATCGGAACATCCATCCGGTTTCCGATATTGTCACAATAGAAGATCCTTGTTAATGTAATCAGTAGAATCTGAGATATGATATATCACTTCTGACAAAATTGATCTTGGATTGTAGGGATCATAGCCCGGCCAGGATGACCAAGTTGAGAGCCTGCCAGGGCATGTAGAATTTCAGCCTCGTAAGAACGTGCATCTGCAGTGCCGACTTTGACAGCGGCATAGGCTGCCCGTTGCTTATCCGGTGCGAGCCAGATGGCGGAGTATGTCTTATAACCTAGCTTGTGAATAACTTAATATCTTGCAAGTACATCGTCAATGAGTATTGGATGATAGCCACCGGGCTGGCATCTTTCCAGCCTTTCTACACCATCAATCCACTTGTACTTGAAGCACGTAACGCTATCAGTTTGGCAAATCGTGTTGGAAGTTGAACATTGCAAGATACCACCGAGAACGATATCAACGCAATGGTGGTTTCAGAGTATGCGCGAAAAGACATATTCGATGATAAGAGAGAAACAAGCCGGAAATCAAAGGAATAGTCTGTCTCATGATCATGATGATAATGATGCGCCGACCTCCCAATGGAGATTGCTGGATGAGGGTTATCTCAGCATGTTCAGCCACCAGAGCAACGATCAACAGCCACCATCTAATCAGTCAATCAGATAATCATCTACATCTTCCAGCATCAAATTCTCGTAGAAGTCCTGAGAGGAAATGGTTCCATCTTCTTAGAGAAATCAACCCTCTGCTTGATATTTGATTGATCGCTATTGGATAAAGATTGCTAGCTACCTAGATATCCGATAAATTGCTAATGGAAGAGACAAAGCTAACTAGTTCTTCTTTTGCTTCATTTACTTTTAGATGTGATCTTGCAATAGAAAGGGCGCGGCATTCTCGAGAACTTAGAAATTCTTCTTAAAGTACTCTGATCGCTTTATAGATACATAGTCATAAATCTTTGAGCACTCTAACTTCTTTGTAAATATAATACAGTGTTACAGTCGTTTATAGAGAACTTAAGTATAAAAACTTGATCTTTTCTTAGTATAAACTAAGTTCTTAACACTTTCTAGATACAAAAAATAATTTAATTAAGAAAAAAAAAGAAAAGACAAAATAAAGAGTTTTATAAAGAGATTCTTATACAAGAAGACTTGAAGTCAGCAGAATATCGAAGGTTGTATCATAGTGAAGTATGAAGTGCAAGAATATTAGAGATCACACAACTATAAAGTGTAATTGTGAGAGTAAAGGTTTTCATGATGGTTGTGCAGATATGTGAGTGATAATAATATGACAGTATTATTTCTTCCTCTGGAAGGTGGTGTCTACATTTGAACACTAGTTATCTTGTATATAATGCAATGTTTTCATTAAATTCTTTAAAAAATTACAGACACCATGTGTAACTATCAATCCTGCGATTTGGTAACAGGTTTTGAAGATCCAGGGGGCTGACAATGTAAAGCGCGAGAGAAGCGAGTTCGGCATTGTTTCAATGTTCTGACTAATAAGTAAGCTCTTCAACCATGATGGTCTTCGGTTTGCCATGTTGTGGACCCGGGGAGTATTAGTAGTAGAGCTCGGTTCCCGAACATTGATGGATGTTTGTGCCTTTCCACTTTGTGACGCAAACTAGTGGACGGAGTAACCCTGGCGCGGGATCTCGCCAAACGCGGTTAGAAGAGAGATCATGCATGGGTTTAGCGGGACTTGGTGCCAGGAACGAACTCAGCCCTAGCCTAGACTGAACCCTCCTCAGGAGCTCAGCTTCAGAAATGATAATTATCCTACACAGCGTATAACTACCTTAAGTCAATTATTCACAATGTTTAAAGGTCATTCTTTCAGATCAACTCCGTTACATAAATCATACTTTGCTTCTCAAAAGTCCTGCTCTGCCACTCTCTACTATAACTACAACTGTCGAAGTTCCGAAACCTTGATGCTTGAATGTCCGAGCCGCACCCAGGGCAGCGATCATCCCACGGAATTAAATCTTTTCAATTTAGCCTAGCAGGGGCGGTATCGGACAAGAGATAGACACTACGAAAGTACAGGGAATACTCTCTTAAGCCAGTTAAGTTTCATGGGACGTGTTTTCCGAGGAATAACCCATGAATTTATATCAGAACTGGCTGGCTTCCAGCAGCTAAAAACCTCAAAAATGCAGTTTAAAAAAACATAAGCCGGGGGGCAAAAACGAGAGATGACGAGAATATAAATTGAATGGCAGAAGCCTCTTATTTTTGTTCCTCAACTTGTTCAGTCCTTATTCTTTTAGTCAAAATATCTTCGACTTTTGAAACTTGCAGTGGTTGATCTCTCCTTTCCCACCAGGTGATCTAGTCGGAACATTCATTCATTCCTTTAAGCTTGAAATAATTGAGCGTCGCAATGAAGGTATGTGAACAATGGAAATTGAAATATACATTTGATATAACTTTCCACTTCTCAGCTGACCATTCCTCTCTAGTTCCTATCTCTCACTCTGATCACCCTTGCTGGGATGCTTATCAGCACCCATGCGTTGCCCGGGTATGTGCCACCCTCCTCTTTTACATTTTATTTTTTTACTCTCTTCCATCTAACATTTCAGTCTCCAGGCCTCTGCCAAAAGCAGAAACCGATGTCGATGAACTCATTCCCTCAGTCAACACAACTGAGCACGACCTCGTTGCCCGCGGTGCAACCAAGTTGAGATGCTATGACTCCCGTACGGAAAAGTGGGCAGCTGATGGGCTGACTCCCATCCGTGAAGTTGGAAAGAACTACGATCTTAAGGAAAAGAACATATACGATGTTGCGGGGAAATTTTGCTATGAGTACAATGGCTATAAATTTACACGGTCGGGAGACATTGGAAAAAAATACTGGTTCAGGAACGTGTTCAAAACCTTTCCCATACCTTTTGTCCCGGTCAAAGTCGGCGTCGTCAATACTAATAACAGATCTGGCAAACTCAATGCCAAATTCTGTGCCGATATGATGGTCAAGGTCATTTCTGGTTGTACCGCCAGGGGTCGGCCATCTAGGTTAGACTATTTCAGAGGTGGAGAGATCCAGGATTTGAGCGGGTGGACTTACGCTGTATTGTGTGAAGAGAGGTACTGTTGGGTGTGAGGATAGAAGGATTTTTATTCTTCTAGTCAACTGGCTAATGGGCGCGCAACACAGACTGTTTCACTCCTCTATACAACCCAGTTTTCATATCTTTATTGAAAATTTGTGAATGTTTGTTTCTTATTTTCTTCCCCTTTTATACTCCATGGGTCAGGTCCTCACTCCTTGGCCTTTCATCTCTTGGACTTTTAAATGTCGTTTTATTCTCCTGTAATACTGCTGAAGTCAGTGTTGTAATTTAGCCATTGTTTGAATGAGAAGGAAATCACAAGCTCCATTAAACTATAGCATATGCACTCATAATGAAGAGATAAAAGTTAAGGAAAATTGTGATTTGTTGAGGGTTCGTTGGGTCGAAAGCTTGTAAGATACAGATAGGAAGACTATGGATAAAGAAAGCTCCAAGTGGAAAGAAGTAATTCTTGCGGAAATAAACCGGACTGCCAACTGGGAGTTTCTTGCAAGGATAACTGAATTTCCAAAGGAGAGGGTAGCGACACCTGTTTTTAAAGTCGTACGCTGCATAGCTGCCATCAGGGCGGCTGCAACAGTCTGTCAATCAATCAATCGAAGGTCAGGAAAAGCCCGAGAGGTGTAGAAATGCAGTCCCAGGACAGAAGCAGTCGCTATTTCTGCTCGAGCACAATTCCAAAACTCCAGTTGCGCCACTTCTTGGCGGCTAAAGCTTAGCAGGGTGTGGCGGATATGTATTATCAACTGAAAGGATAGCTAAATCAAAAGTTCTCTTCCTGAGTTTATCAGTTATGTTAATATAGAATTTCTCTTTTTTATATTAACCACAGTATAGACTGAGATATCTGTATTAAGTGTCAAAAAAAAAAGAAAATAGAAATGACAATTGTGATCCATTCATTTTGAGCACATTCTCTACTATTGACAGCAAGGTGTAATTTCTTCTTAATTCGTGATATTTGAAGCTGCTCCAATTAGTAGATCAGCAGCACTGATAGTAGCTTGGCTGAATGGATTTTTTTTTGAAGCAACCTCTGTAGTGAGAGAAGCATGCTTGTAAATACTAGTATGTATATCAGCATCAACAATAGAAAAGCTCAGGTTCAACAAAACCGTTCTGCTTTATAGCATGCTTCAAACAAAACATGAAAATGTTTTCTCTTAAAGAAAAAAAAAGGATTTTTTTTTTTTTTTGGTATTTTTTAATAATAATTTTTTTTTTTTTTTTTTTTTTTTTTCGTCTATTCCACCCTTAAACCTGTGGTATTTGGCAAAATAAAAGAGGGCAGAAAAAAGGAGAAAAAACATCACATCGATG